GGAGGAGGGGAGGAGGGGAGGGGGGGAGAGGAGGGGAGGGGAGGAGGGGAGGGGAGGAGGGGAGGGGAGGAGAGCCGACGAGGCGATGCGCACGTCTCAACGCCCCAGCCTCGCAGCTCGCGGGCAAAGACCTATGAATTTCATTCATCAATGAATTCAATCCAGCCCCGCAGCGCGCGGGCAAAGACCCGCGACGTGTCCTTAGGACTTGAGGAATGAGTGAATGGACCGATGGCGGGCAGATGTCTGCGACGTGTGTCTCGGGACGCGTGCATTGAGCTGCAGAGCGAGGGGTGGACTAGAGGCTCGATGTATATAACCTGCCACGTGTCTCCCATCGCCATCGAGGTGGTGTGCAGGGCGGAGACGGAGGCGAGGCTGCGCAGCGCCACGCCGTTGCGGAAGAGGCGCACGAAGCCGAAGCCTGGAGAGGCGGACTGGTGTGTCTCGGGCGATCTCGGGCGATCTCGGGCGATCTCGGGCGATCTCTCGCGATCTCTCGGTCGAATCTCGGCGACACAAACCACCCCACAAATCACCCACAAACCACCCACAAACCACCCCACAAACCAGCCCGCAAACCACCCGCAAACGAGCCGCAAACGGCCAGCGGGGCGGGCGGGGCGGGCGCCTGGAGGGCGGAGCGCCAGCGGCGATCGCGCGCCGGCCGGGTGGGTCTCGTTCGCCCTGCCAGCGACGAGCGGGACGAGGAGGGCGAGGAGGGAGGCCGAGGCGAGGTAGGGGAGGCGGAGGGAGCGGGAGAGCAGCCTTCCGCCGAGCAGCATCCCCACAGAGTAGGCGGCGCCGGCCTACTTGAGATCTGGTGAGATCTGGTGAGATCTGGGGAGATCATCCCCACAGAGTAGGCGGCGCCGGCCTACTTGAGATCTGGTGAGATCTGGTGAGATCTGGGGAGATCATCCCCACAGAGTAGGCGGCGCCGGCCTACTTGTGCACCAGAGGAGGCCGTGCCGAGGGCGCCTTCACGGCCCCCGGCCTCGAGATCTGGGGAGATCTGGGGGAGATCTGGGGAGATCTGGAGGAGATCTGGGGAGATCTCGGGAGATCTGGGGAGATCTGGGGAGATCTTCCGCATCTAGGGGCGGGGCTTGCCGAGGCGGAGACGAGGCCGAGCTTGCCGGTGAGTGCGGCGGGGTCGTCGCGGTGTGTGTCTGCGATTGAGGCGCGCAGCGCGACGGAGAAGGTCGAGGTGAGGAGGAGGGAGAGGAGCTTGACGATCACCTGGGGAGATATGGGGGAGATATAGGTCGAGGTGAGGAGGAGGGAGAGGAGCTTGACGATGACTTGCTCACGGGACGCCGCCCCTGCGAGCCGCCGCCTCGAGAGGGTGGTGAGAGAGCCTTCCCCGCCCGGGCTGCTGCCCCGCGCCAGCCGCCCAAACCTCCCCCATCTCTCCCCCATCTCTCCCAAGGCCAGCCGCGCACCAGCACGCGAATCGTCGGGCGCGAGGCGGCCACGCCTCGGCAGAGGAGGGCGAGGGCGGGCGCGCCAACGAGGAGCGGCTTGCGGCCGATCGTGTCCGACAGCCGGCCGAGCTGCGGCGTCACCTAATACCGGCGCCGAGCCGCTGCCGAGGCGCGCCTGAGGCGTCGGCTCCGCACGTCTGCGGCCGCTTGTGACCAGGATGTCGAGCAGCGCGGCGCTCGAGGAGATGCGGCCAAGGGCGGCGGCGGTGGCGACGCGATCCTGCCCAAGGTGCGCGTACAGCGCGCTCGGCACCGCCTGCGGAAACGTCAGAAAGAAGCGTCATGGACGCGTTCCGTGTCCACGCCTGAGCAGCCTCCGCCTGCCTGCGTGAGCAGAGCGTTGGACAGCATCTGTACGAAGACGACGAGCGCGATGAGCCAGCCGTCGCCGTCCGCCAGCCGTGCTAACAGGCCATCGCGCCTCGCAGAGGGCGGCGGAGGCGGCGGCAACACAGCCGTCACCGCCGGCACCCGACGGCGCACCTCTCCAGCGCACCCGCTGGTGGCAACGCGAAGGGCTGCATCTGTCGTTGGAGGGGACCGCAGCGGACTCGGGCTGGGTAGCAGTGCCGATGCCGCCGCCGCAGCAACCAACAACAGGCGAAGAGTCGTCATGGGCCGGCTCCGCATATCAATCGGCGCGAAGCGAGGCAGAGGGTTTCCAGCTTCGTGCCGGATACGGTCCCTGTAGGCACTTGAGCACTGGATAGGGTCGATTCCGCGTGGTACGGGACCCCTCGATCGTCTCGCCCTCCCTCACTGGTATGTTCATTGGGGGGGGTCATAACAAACACGATCCGGTCCCTGTTGCGACCACTACCGCGTTGGGAGAGAGAGATTTTTAAAGACCAACAAGAAATCACGACTCTCACAGTGATTTGGGCTCGGCAGCTTGTTAGCCCTTAGCCGAAGCTGGGGCCGGTCCCGTAGCCGAGAGAGCCCGCGCCGATGAGTTCGACGCGGTCGGGGGGGCCTGCGAAGAGGCCAGCGAGATGGCGATCGCTGTACTTCATGGTGCCCTCGGTGGGGCGGCTGACAAGCCAGAGGTCGATACTCTGGACGACCCATAGGATGCCACGAATGCCTGAAGGAGAGGGAGGCGAGGCCAGAGGCAGGCTCAGCTGCTCTCGGGTGATCCCGCTTTGGTGGCTGAAGGACCCGATGGTCCTGTCACATTCGCGTTCCGAGTCGTGGGGGTAGAAGAATTCGAGTAGAAATCGAGTCAGCACATCTCTCCGCGTTGGTGTCCACTCCGAGCCCGGTTTCTCTTTTCTATCAATCAATCAGGCCAACTGGGAAGCCCGATCTTTCACCGACAGGGTCCCGTTTACAGGGAAAAGGAATTCTCTCTCTCATAGCAGACAGGCTCGACACAGGCAGGTGCGGACTAGACCAGACGCGGGGCCATCCACATCATCACCGGCTCGCGAAAGTAAGGGCACTCTCGCATCAGCTCAGAGCACGGCCCGCAAGCACACAAGTGCCCGCACGGAACCGCCGCATGCGACTTGACTCTCGCGAAACACACGATACACGTGGTCTCGCCCCCCATCGTCCGGCCGCCCCGTGTCGAGGCCGGCGTCGGCGAGTGAGACGGCAGCAAGCGGCTGGGTGACTGGCAGATGCAGCCCCGCCGCCTCTGCCGCCTCTGGCCCGATCAAGCGCTCGATGGCGCCGAACCGCTCCTCGAGGCTGCCCTCGGTCGCCGTGCCGAGGCTCGCCTCCAGCCGTTCGACACACCGCTTCAAGTCCCCGCCGCCGCCGGTCGACTCGCTGCTCACCGCCTCCTCGCACCGCTAGGGACGATGGAACTGGCCGCACACCGACACACGTCCCGGCCCGCCAACGCTGTCGAGGGGGTGTCGAGGGGGATGCGACCGCGACGCCGGCAGCACCAGCAGTGCAACGCCGGCAGCTCGAGCTCGACGGAGCCGCGCGGTAGCGTCCGTCCCGTCGTGCGTCCTCTACTCTTCTCCCTCGCTCGCCACCGCGTGCAGCAGCACGGTGCGCGCCAACTCAAAGACAGCGCCGTCGGCCGTGAGCGTGAGGGCGCGAACCAACTGCAACTCCCCTACTGCGTCTCGCGCGTGATGGCGAAGCCCAAGACGCAGTGGCCAAAGTCGAGCGCCGCGATGCCGTTCGTGGCTCCTGCCGAGTCGAGGTGGTACCGCTCGTGGATCTCGTAGATCGAGAGGACGAGGAGCGCCGCCCGCGCGCGGGCCGCCGCGGGGAAGAGCGAGTGGCTTGCCGGCGACCACGGCGCCGCCGCCCGCCGGACCAGCGCCGCCGCCTCGCCCTCGCCGCCCGCGGCGCGCCGCAGCGGCGTCGGCTCGCCCTCGTGCAAGCTTGCGCCGCTGCGCAGGAGGGAGGTGGCGCGGGCGGCGGTGAGGGTCTCAAGGTGCGCGAGCGGCGTCCAGCCGCGGCTGGCGACTAGCCAGACGGCGAGGTCGGCGTGGCCTTCTTCGGTTGCAACCTCCTCGGGCGTGCCGAAGGGCGTAGCGGCGCGGGAGGCGCCGTAGGAGGAGAGGAGCTTGGCGACCTCGAGGTGGCCGTCCTGGCACGCAGCGAACAGCGGCGTGGCGCCTTGCTCATCGGCCTGGTCGATCGCCGCGCCAGCCTCGAGGAGCAGCCTGGCGCACTCGACGTGGCCCTGCTGGCACGCAACGTGCAGCGGCGTGGCGCCATTCGCCGCGGCTTGGCTTACCGCCGCGCCAGCCTCCAGGAGCAGCTTGGCGACCTCGAGGTGACCCTTGTAGCACGCGACGTACAGCGGCGTGGCGCCGTTCTGCTTGGCTTGGTTGATCGCCGCGCCAGCCTCGAGAAGCAGCCGGACGATCTCGAGCTGGCCCTGCTGGCTTGCCATGAACAGTGGCGTGGTGCCGCTGTTGCGGGCCTGGTTGACCGCTGCGCCAGTCTCGAGAAGCAGCTGGGCGATCTCGAGGTGGCCCTTCTCGCACGCAACGAACAGCGGCGTGCGGCCTTCAGCGTCTGCATGAGCCACCGCTGCGCTGGCCTCGAGGAGCAGCCGGGCGCACTCGAGGTGGCCCTCCTGGCACGCGACGTACAGCGGCGTGCGGCCTTCAGAATCCGCTTGGTTGACCGCCGCGCCAGCCTCGAGGAGTAGCCGGGCGCACTCGATCTCGCCAGTCAAGCTCGCAGCACTCAGCGGCGTGGTGCCTTCATCATCAGCCTGGTCGACCGCCGCGTTGGCCTCGACGAGGAGCCGGGAGATCTCGAGCTGGCCCTCCTGGCTCGCGATGAGCAGCGGCGTGCAGCCTTCAGCGTCTGCTCGGTCGGTCGCCGCGCCAGCCTCGACGAGCAGCCGGACGCAGTCGAGGTGGCCCTCCTCGCTCGCGATGAGGAGCGCGGTGGCGCCGCCGCTGTCAGCCGCCTCCACGCTCGCGCCGCCCTCAAGCAGCAGCCGCGCCGCCTCGGCCTGCCCGTGCCGAGCGGCCCAGGTGAGCAGCGTGTCCTGCTTCTCGGTGTCGTTCCGCGCGTCGAGCTGGGCCGCGAGCGACGTGCCGCGCGTTCGCCGCCCGGAGAGGAAGTCGCGCAGCCAGGCCAGGTCGCCCCGAGCCAGGTCGGCGTGGCGGGTTGGGATGGCGCCGCTCATGCCGCCAGGAAGAAGAAAAACCTTCGCCACTCCAAAATCCCGGCCCGCCAATGGCCAACGCTGTCGAGGGAGAAGCGACGACATTGCAGCGCCAGCAGCTCGAGCTTGCCGAGGGAGCTCGACGGAGCCGCGCGGTAGTATACGTCGTCCCGTCATGCGTCCTCACGCACTCTACCCCTACCCCTCGCTCGCCACCGCGTGCAGCAGCACGGTGCGCGCCAACTCAAAGACAGCGCCGTCGGCCGTGAGCGTGAGGGCGCGAACCAACTGCAACTCCCCTACTGCGTCTCGCGCGTGATGGCGAAGCCCAAGACGCAGTGGCCAAAGTCGAGCGCCGCGATGCCGTTCGTGGCTCCTGCCGAGTCGAGGTGGTTGGTACCGCTCGTGGATCTCGTAGATCGAGAGGACGAGGAGCGCCGCCCGCGCGCGGGCTGCCGCGGGGAAGAGCGAGTGGCTTGCCGGCGACCACGGCGCCGCCGCCCGCCCGAGGGCTGGAGAGGCGCTTCAAGCGAGGGTGGCCCTGGCGAGGTACTTCCAGCCTGCTGTGGGAACAGCTGACGCAGTCTCGCCGAGGCTCGCCCCAGCACGGGTTGACTCGGCCAGACAAAAACCCCGAGAGGCGTGGGAGTACCTCGCCAGGGGTGGCCTCTTCACGGGCCTCGTTTGGCGAGACTGAGCAGCTTCCTATCATCACGACACTGGGCACGGAGACAAGCAAGAACTTTCCGTGTCATCGTGCGTCCCGCTTTGCCAGCAGCGTTCGCAGTGAGCGCGCAGAGGAGTTTAGGGACATGGACACCGTGAAGGAGGGCGCGGTCCTAACCGGCGGTTCGTCGGCGGGCAGCAGCAGTGACGACGACTCCATGCGCCGCCGGTGGCGACTGATCCTTTGCAGCGCTGCCACCGAGTACAGTGCGGGTGCCATCCTGGCGATGGGTGCGTGGCAGGCGGAGCTGCGCGACGTGCTGGGGCTCACGACGGGGCAGACAATGTCCATCGGCGCGGCCATCTTCTTCGGCACCTTCTTCGCGTTTCTCGGAGGCCGCGCCTTTGACGCGCTCGGCCCGCGCCGCACAGTCCTGCTTGGGGGAGGTATGGCTTGCTTGGGCTACCTCACTCTCTTCACTGCCGTCAGATTCTCCGACCGACTCTCTTCCCGCGCAAAGCTCACCCTCGCCACAGCCGGTTCTGTGCTCGCCGGGTATGCATGCGGCAACCTCCTCGACCTCTCGGCCTCGATGGCCTGCTCGCTCTCCTTCCCGCACGAGCGCGCGGCGGTGGTTGGCTACATGAAAGCAGTGCTCGCCACCTCGGCCGGGCTGTGGGCGCTCCTCTGGGTGAACGTCTTTGCCGTGGTCAGCTCGCTCGCATCGTACCTCGCGTGCGCCGCGGCGACTGTCCTAACCCTCTCATGCCTCACCGCCTCTGGGATCGTCGTGCTACCCGAGGGCGAGGATTACCGACGCCCGTTTGACCATGTGTGCGATGACTCAGGGCATTCCGACCGGCCCTTCTACTCCGAGTTCAACGACAATCCCCACCCTGTTCGATTCCACTAGGCCGACACGGTCAAGCTAGTCTTCGCCGTCGTGTCCGCGCTCGCTGTGGCTATTTGCACCGTCGCGGTGAGCCTCCTCTGCGGCGATATCTCGGTTCACGCCGGCTCAGCTTCGTCTGCTCTCGGTTGATCTCGGCCACCCCTCGGCCAGGCGAGCTCTCTCCGCTCGGCCGGACTTATGGGACCCACACCGGCGTTTGGGTACGCCGCGCTCGCCATCGCGGCCGCACCCGCGTGCATCATCTTCCTCCCTTCCACGAAGCAGAGGGTCTCGCTCCGCACCACCATTCTCGTGGCTGAGGCGGCGACAAAACTCCGCCGCCGGACGAGCTTCCTCTCGAGCCGCCACAGCGTGTCGGGGCGCGGGGACCTCTCTCCGGAGGCGGATCTGGCTGCAAGGCTCCTCACATCTGCTGGCTGTGAGTAGGTACGAGGTGCTCTCGAGGGGAGAGGCCGCGCCCTCTTCCGAGTATGCTGGCATCCCGTTCTGCGTGGCGGTACGGGGCAGCGAGTTCTGGCTGATTTGGTTCGTGGCTTTTGCCATTCTCGGTATGATCTCTACCATTGTCAATGCACGCCTGCCCCGGCTGTCACAGCCTCCCTGGCCCGATCTTAACCACCAAGGTGCGGGAAACGCGAGCAACCAGAACTTGGCTTTTGTTCTCGAGAGCGCCGCGGACCCCGACGACACCGGCCTCGCCGTCGGCCTCTTCGCGCTCACCTCGACCGTTGTGCGGGTGGCGGTGGGCATCGTGTCGGACAAGTCGCCACATATTCTTACGCAGCCTGCCGATGGAGCCGCCCTGCAATGAAGTCGTCAGTCAGCTTTAGGTGCCAGCACATCCTTAGCCGCGTCTCAATGATCCCCATCGTCTCGGCGAGCGCGTTGGTCAGCCAGTGCCTCCTCGCCCTCCCGAATATCAGCAGCATCATGCTGGGCGTCTTCTTCTCCGCTCTCTCCTTTGGAGGCTTCCTCACCCTCTTCTTGCCCGTGCTTAACGAGATGTACGCTCTCTTGCCGCTCGGCAAAAGCAGTACCACACTTCCCAGTGGCGCCCTCACTCCCGCAGGTACGGCCGACGTGAGTTTGGTGTCATATGCGGCGTGCAGTTTGTCTGCCAGGCCGTCGCCTCCTTTTGCATCTCGCTCGAGCTCATGCCCGGCCTATACCAAGCCGCGGCAACACGGCACGGCACCATCACTTGCGTCGGGCCCGACTGCTACCAGGCTTATTCTGGCCTTGTCCCGGCGGCACCTTGTGAAAAGCTGCCCACCCGCCTCTAACGTGGGCAGGCGTCCTTCCTGGTGGTCGCTCTGCTCAACCTCGTCGGCCTCGGCGCCTCCCTCTGCCTCGCGTGGCGTATCCGTGCGCACAAGCTGCCGGCAGAGAGGATTGCCATGCGCAGGCATGTCGAGAAACTCGGCTACGATTGAGACCGCTTGTCGGTCGCGAGCTCTGCTCTCTTGTGGGTGTCTACGGAGGGCAACACCACTTGCTAAAAGAGAGATGATGCCAGGGTCACACGTAGGGCAACACCACTTGCTAACAAAAATGCGATGACACGGCATGCTGGACATGGACATGGGGGAATCGCATCCCGTTCCCGATGTGCAGGTGCTCCAGGGTGTCGTGCGTGCGCTTCAACGCGGTCCCATTCTCGTGGCGCCCCTTCATCTCCCACCACCTCCCCATGCGCGGCTTGTTCTTCTCCCACCACCTCAACCCTCTGCCGGACTTGTGCTGTCTTTGTTTGCAATCGTGCAGGCCACACGGGTTGTTGCCGCGCATGTCGAGGGTGGACGCGAGCCACGGTATTGTCTCCCACGCATCGAGCACGGATTCGGGCGGCTCCGCCTCGATTCGGCCAGACAGGGCGGTGGCATTGAGGCCGGCAACGGCTAGGGCAGCAAACGTGATGGAGATCGGAGCAACCATCGCCACGCTCACTCGGAGCTGCTTCCCAGCCCTCCGGAACAGACGGAGCGGCCTGGCCGGGCGGAGGGGACTCGTGCGCATATGCGGTGCGCACCTCCGTCGCTACTCCCTTTGCTTAGGGACTCCCTACTGCCGACAACCCTCCTCCCTCCCCTCCCCGCTACCGTCTTTGTCTCGCTGCGCTCGTCGTCGCTCGAGGAGGGACGGACGGAGGCTCCGGCCTCCGGGACCCACCCCCCCTAGCCCTACCGACCGCCGCCGCCCTCCCCGCTGCCGCCGCCGCCGCCGCCGCCGCCGCCGCCGCCCTTCTCGCCCCCCCACCCGCCACTGATTGCGAATCTCTCGCATCGAATCACATGCAATTGCAATCGCCCCGGTGCAGAATTTTTTTTATGTTTAAGCTTTTAAGGATCGGGCGGATCTACCTAGTCGCCTGGACGCTCACCCCCCCCACCCCCCACCCCCCCACACACACCCACCCTGCTGCCTGTGTCGCTGTGATCGACCGCTTAGCCGCCGCTTAGCACGAGGCCGCTACTCCCTTCTTATTCATGCACATGCGCACATGCACAAGCACATGCGTACATGTTGTACGTACTACGATGCGCCGTCCGAGAGGGAGCCGAGCAGAGTGGCGAGGAGCCGCGTCGACAGCCCCATCACCGAGTCGACGCCTCCGTCGATCTGGCGCAGGTACGGCGCGCACGCGGGGTGCTCGACCATCAGCCCTCCGGCGCACCTCCGGCAGACCGGGTCGGCGGCGAGGGCGTCCACCACCGCCGGCGGGAAAGGGTCAAAGTGGATGTGCGCCACGTGGACGCCGGACGCGCGCCTGCCGCTCGCAGCGTCGTGCAGCACCAGGGCGCCGACGGTCGAGCAAGGCGCGAGGCCGTAGTCGGCGATGTAGGCTCGCGCCTCATCGGCGTCTGCCGGCTTCTCGCGGACAGCGCCGTTGTAGGTCACCACCTGGTCTCCACAGACCAGCACCGCCCCGCGCCGGCCCAGCTCCGAGAGCCGCCCCTCGTCCGCGAGCCTGGAGCGTGAAAAGAAAAAACGCCGGCGTGTGGAGACGCTCTCTTCCTCCGCGGTGTCGCGTGCAGGCTGGAGAAAGCATCTAGGCAGCCCCACCGCGCGACGAGAGCATCTGCCTTGGCAGTGGCGACGGCGAGCACTAGCCGCTCTGGGTCGGAAGCGCGGTCCCCGATCGCCTTCTCGTCGATGTCCGGCACAATGCACTCGACCTTGTGGGTGCGGGTGAGGGTGAGGCCAGCGTCGCGAGGAGAAAGAAGTTCCGAGTGAGCGACTGTGCGAGCGTGTGTGTGCATGCTTGTGAGTGCGAATCAGCACCTGCTCAGCGTCTCCGTGGCCGAGTGCTGCGGCGAGGAGCGCCCGTCGCGACGGAGACTGCGACCCCAGGATGAGAGACGAGAACTGCGGCGGCAGCCGCACCGCAGCGCGCAGCGCCGCATCCATCGTCGCAGCGACAGGCGCGTGGGTCGCGTGAGCGACCTGAAGCGTTAGCATATATGTTGTATGTACTTGTACTACCCGCACGGCGATCGAGGATGGCACGGTTCACCCCCTTCACCGAAGCGATGGAGATGCGTTCCGCGTGGTGTGACACAAATGAGAGGCGGGAGTGGGGAGGGTACGCGGTGCGGTCAACGCCCGAGCGTTGAGCCTTGCGCGCAAGGCGGTTGATGTTTGCAACTGCAGGCGGCGAGAAGCCGCCGCCGAATGTCTCGTGGAGAAGCAGGTTGAACTTGTTTCGTTTGGTGAAGATCCCATCATGGTAGTGGCCACGCTGTGACTTGACGTAGCCTTGGCCGGTGGTGTGGTCGAACGCCCGTTGACCACGGAACCCGCGTTGCTTGCAGCCCATGTTTGCAAGGCGGGCGCGCTCTTCGGTGTTGCCGAAGGCGAACTTGTCTCCAACGGAGCCGGGGTTGCCTCCGGTGTCGGCGCGGCCGACCCCAACGGGCAAGCCACCCCGGAGGGGGGTCCAAAGTTTGACCTCGCTGATCTCGTCTTTGCCCCCGCTCTCTCAGTTGTAGGGTGCACTATCCCAGCCGGCCCTGCCTGTGTGGGTGGGCTGTGGCAGGGTTCGGGACTCTATTACTCACGGGAAGGGTTGGGGGAGCGAAGCGCACGTGTATTGTGAGTTTCTGTGGCTAAAAGAAAAGAAAGAAAACGGACAACCCAAGAGAGGGATGGGAGGACGGCACGGCGCACGCCGCCACCACACACAGGGATTTTAAGGAGAGGGGTATGGTGCGCTAGCCGTCGCCCACCCTTGGGCGTCCGCCTCTTCCTATCTCTCTTCGCAGTCTCTCGCCGAGTTTCTGTGTCTGTGTTTCCTCCAATGCCCTATCTCCTTTTTCCTGCGGGAGGCCGTGGTTTTTTCATTCCGAGAGTTGCCATTCGGTCGGAGCTCAATGCTCACGCTCTCCGCCGCCGCCGCACTGGCCTACTCGCCCACCGTCGCTGCGCCGCACGCGCGGACAAGCGCAGCGTCGGTCAGCAGCCGCGCGTCCGCTCCGCGCCTCGGCTTGCTGCAGAAGCTTGGCCTGCGCCGCGGAGCAAGGTGCCTGCCCGTCTCGGCTGGCGCAGCAAGCGCGACGACGGCTTCCGCCTGAAACGGTCCCGCACCCGCTCCTTAGGTTTGCGGACGACCTTGGCCTGCCCTGCGTGGACGAGTGCGCGGTGGCGTCGTATCCCAACCTCCCTCCCTCGGTCCACCCGGGCGTCGTGACGGGCCAGGCGCTTCCCTGGTGGAGCGGAGTACGAGATGGAGAGGAGGGAGTGGGAGGAGAGAGGAGCCCCGCGCATGCACGACAGGCGCTCGTCGACCTGCTGCAGCACGCAAAGGAGAATCGGTACGCCATCCCGGCGGTCAACTGCGTCACGTCCTCGTCCGTCAACACTTGCCTCGAGGCGGCGCGCAAGGCGGACGCGCCAATCATCATCCAGTTCTCGTCGGGAGGCACTTCCTAGACACTTCCTGGACACTTGCTAGACACTTCCTAGACACGCGCCAATCATCATCCAGTTCTCGTTGGGAGGCGTGGCGTGCGACATGCGACAGCGCCTCGTGCCGAGCCACCCCCGAACCGCCTCGGAGCCTTTCTGCAGGCTCGCAGTTCTACGCTGGCAAGGGCCTCGACAACACCGACTACAAGGCTGCCATCGCCGGCGCCGTCTCGGGTGGCCCGCGGTAGACATTCCTAGACACTTCGTAGTCAGTTCCCCGTCTCGGGTGGTCCCAGTGGCGGCAGCGCGGCGGCGGATGCGCCTCCTCCTCCGCGACCCTCGGCGCTGCGCGGGGCGTACTGTGTAGCAGACTGTGTAGGAGCTGGCTGGAAGACGTGACACTTCCTAGACACTTCCTAGAAGACTTCGCCGAGGAGCTCGCTGGAAGGCGTGCAAGCGAGGGCGCTCCTCGCTGAGCAAGTGTTGTCGCCGCCTCTCTGTGCCGTGCTGCAGGCGCCTACCACGTGCGGGCCATGGCGGAGCAGTACGGAGTGCCGGTGATCCTGCACACCGACCACTGCGCCAAGAACCTGCTGCCGTGGCTCGACGGGATGCTGGCCGCGTCGGAGCGGTGCCACGCAGCGCAGCGCGAGCCGACTGGCTCGGGGCCTCGCCGGATCCTCGCCGGAGCCTTGGTGATAGGTACTATGCGGCGCACCGCGAGCCCCTCTTCTCGTCGCACATGATCGACCTCTCCGAGGCGACGCGAGATTGGGCCGAGATCGAGCCGAGATCGGGCCGAGATCGGGCCGAGATCGGGCCGAGATTGGGCCGGGGTTAGAGGGGCCCCGGGCGATCCCCCGAGGCTTGCCCGAGGTCAGGAGCCGCTCGAGGAGAACATCGACATTTGCGTGAGCTACCTGCAGCGGATGGCCAAGCTCGACATGCTGCTCGAGATGGAGCTTGGCAGCCCAAGACGGAGGAGGGCGACGGGTGCGGCAGTCCGGACACGTCCGCGACATGTCCGCGAGGTGTGGCGTAGGCATCACGGGCGGCGAGGAGGACGGGGTGGACAACGAGGATGCCAACCCGGAGGACCTCTACTCCAAGCCCGAGGAGATCTGGCAGGTCTGCGCCGAAGCTGCCCCTGCAGCTGGCGTCTCGAGGCGGCGTGTCCCTGATCCGCTCCACGGCGTGTTTGCGGGTCTGGCAGGTGTATGAGAAGCTCTCCGCCGTCCCAAACGGCCGCTTCACCGTCGCCGCCGCTTTTGGCAACGTGCACGGCGTCTATGCCCCGGGCAACGCCGAGCTCGACCCCCCCGACACTCGTGGTCGGAATCTTGGCGAGACCGGTGAGTGTGTGCTGATTAGGCAACGTCAAGCTCGACCCCGAGATCTTGGGCAATGCCCAGACCTTCATCGCCGACAAGGTGCGAGACGACGCGTACCTCGGCCGTACCTCGGCCGTACCTCGGCCGTACCTCGGCCGTACCTCGGCCGTACCTCGGCCGTACCTCGGCCGTACCTCGGCCGTATCTCGGCCGCAGCTCGGCTACACCTCGGCTGCACGTCTCGTCCAAGTGTGCACCGGTTGCACCTCGCTTTGGGAAGGTGTCCTCCAGCGACGCCAAGCCCGTCTCCTTTGTCTTCCACGGAGGGTCGGGCTCCGACCTCAAGGACATCAAGCAGGCGAACCCCGCCACGGCGGGCCACCTCGGCCGATCCCGGCCCGATCCTGTCCTCTCTCGGCTGATCCCGAGCAGGCGATCGACTACGGCGTGGTCAAGATGAACATCGACACGGACACGCAGTGGTCGCGCGCTCTGGCAGCACACCGCCTCCTGGTCCCACCCGCCCCACTACTGGCGCCTGCCGGCGATAGGTCCTACTGGGACGGCATCCGCGCATACTACAAGAAGTATGAGCCGTACCTCAACTCGCAGATCGGCAACCCGGACGGCGCCGACAAGCCAAACAAGGCGCGGCGCCACTCCCGAGACACTCTCCTCACCCTACCGCACCGCGACACGCACCGCCGCCGGATCACTCTCCCCTCCCCCCTCCCCCCTCCCCCCTCCCCCCTCCCCCCTCCCCCCTCCCCCCTCCACGCGCCGCAGAAGTTCTACGACCCGCGCGCCTGCCTCCGGTCGGCGGAGGACTCGACTAACGCGCGGCTGCAGCAGTGCTTCGAGGACCTCAACTGCGTCGGCATCCTCGGGCTGGGAGACATGCCTCCGCCGCAGAACGTCCTCGGCCCGCGCCGCGGCGCACTGCCCTGCTGATCCGAGCGGAGAGTTGCAGACAGCCCGGCTGCAGCAGCGCTGTGAGATGGTGGGGAGGCGGGCGAGGGGAGGGGCACTGCGGCGATCCAATCGACGGGGCGGGTTCTGCGCAGGCGCTGTGTCTGCGTTTGCGCTGCGCTGCTGAGGCCGGCGGGCGGCGCTGCGGTGTGAGGACTCGCGGGGTGCGGGGCGCGAGGCCGAGGGGGGAGGGACATGCGAGGGAAGAAGCATCGGGGTGAGGGTGTAGGCATGTGCCTCGGGGAGGGGCGTCGGGTCAGCTCTCCGCCACAAGACTGCCGCTCGCGATATACACAGATGTGGGAGAGAGCACTGAGGGGCGAGCTTGATGGTGCGCGCGCGTTGGCGGGTGTGACGCGCCGTTTATGCTACGTGGTGGTTGGCAGATTTTGTGTTGCGTTTTGTTCTATTTATGTCGCGTTGGTGTTTTCTATTTCTTTTAAAGACTCCGGAGTGCTCGCCGCGCGCTCGCCGCCCGGACCGCCGCACCGGCGGCACCGCCACCGGGACGGGCGGGGGTTGCGGTTGGGGGTACTGGGCTGGGTCTTTAGGCATTGTGGGGTTGGCACTCCCATCGACCCTCATGACCTCCTGCTCTGAGATGGACACCAGTGGGTGGGTGACCACAGCCAGGATACACTCGAAGGCTGGGTAAGCAGTAGAGGTCGATACTCGACGCGTCCCACATGGTCTGTGTCGCTGTCGGCACACTGATCGCTGTCGACAGGACGTCGAGCGACACCGATGGCAGTGCCACCCAGGAGTGGTCGGGCGGTCTCCCGTCATGAAAGAGCCACCACGTGATCCGTATGATGATTCCTGACAACCGCCTCAAGTCAACTTTTGTCACAGTTCCCGCTCTGAGAGGAGCTGCGGGTCAGTTCAACAGCTGGAGCTGTGTCGCCGGCGTGCGGCGGCCTGCCTTCGGAGGTGCCTCTGAGGTGGACATTTTTTGGTCACCGTGAGAGAAAACGCGTTGGAATTTTCACTCCGGAACTTCAACTCCGCACGCGGACCGGCCAGGGCTACGTACAATAGTGGCTGCCAGTGAGGCGGAGGCGCGAGTCGGAAGGCCGCGACCGTCAAGTGGTCCCTCCACTTACTTGAGCACTTGAGCACTTGAGCACTTGATAGGGTCGATTCCGCATGGTACGGGACCCCTCGATCGTCTCGCCCTCCCTCACTGGTGTGTTCATTGGGGGGGGTCATAACAAACACGGTACAGGATCGAGGTGCACGCTGCTGAGGGACCCCAGAGGGTAGATCGAGCAGTGTCGTCCCCCCTCTCCATCAATCATCTCACTGGGAGACGTCGGCGGTGGTGGCGGTGTGACCGATCGCGACTGCGCGCCCCGATCCCACCACTCGGCGCCATCGCACGGGTCCTCCCTCGGCCGCGCAGCTCCAGAGAGGCAGCTGGCGTTGCGCTGCACTGCATGAAGCTGCTGTTGAGACTCGCCAATAGTTGGAGCTGCCCCGCGCGCCGCCGCGAGCACCCCGACGTGAGCACGCCTTCTGGAGGGCGCAGGCACCACCCCTCTCGCGCCGGCACGAGCCGATTCAGCAGCTCCGGCCCAACCAATCCGGCCGCCGACGGGAGGGCGAGCAAAAGGGAGAGCACGCGCATGAGCCAAAATGTCCGTTACTCAACGTTCATCTGCGTGCCCGTTTTTCTTCTGTTTACCCTCACGAGACAGAATCGGGTACAAACTGCGATCGCCCGCGCAAGCGACGCGCACACGGCGGCGGAGCACACTGGTGGCCCGCCTCGCGGCCCTCACGCCTCAACGCCGCGCCCAGCAAGTTTTTTTTTCGTTGAGCGCGAGACTGACGGGGACAACGATCTCTCTCGCGCGGGTATGGGTCACGTGCGTGTGCCCGCGGCGAGTGAATCCGACCAGCGCTCTACGCTCGTCGTCGGTAGTCGGCGTCCCTCAACCTGCGCCCTAGCCTGCGCCGCGCTCGGCGAACCTCGACAGCGCCTTCGGTGGTTTGCAGCGCTCTTTGCGACTGAGCCGTTGCCCGATTTGGAGCACCTGTATTGCGCGATTTCTTTTGCCACGCCAAGTCTGTGTTAGCGCCGCGAACACCGCACAGCGCCGTCCTCGCTCATCTATATGGCCGACTTTAGCCAGCCGCTGCCAGGGACTGCCGGTGCACTTGACAACAACGGATCCGTGAAAGAGACGCTGAAGTCTGTCCTCACGCGTGAATTTTGGCGGAATGCCGCCGAGAGTCTGAGCAGTGAAAAGGCGCTCCCAGCCAGCCAGCTGCCTCGGTCCTCGCGCCATATCCCGTCCTCGACCCACTCCCCGACTGTCGCCCCCACAGTCGCCCTCACCCGCACACGTTCGAGCCACTCCCCCCGCTGCCAAGGCGCTGCGGTATCGCACACTTGCAAAGTCGGCGCTCAACCCGCTCGAGTTCTCCAAGCCGGCACAGGCTGAGGTGACCCCCCCCCCCCTTCCCACCACCACCACCACCACCACCACCACCACCCCACCGCCCCCTTCCCCACACGCGCCGCCGATCATCCGCCGCCTCCACCGCCTCCGCCTCCGCCTCCTGCTGTGCCGCAGGTGCTCCCTCGCGTCATCAGCAACGGCTTCAAGTTCCTGCCCATCTACACGGTCGCAGTCGGAGTTCCGCTGGTGCTCGCGAGCCATGGCCATTGCCGTCTCGCCACCCTCGCGCCACCCGTCTCCTCGCTGCTGCCCTCTCACCCTCTCCCGCCACCCCATCCTGCCGCTCTCCCCGCAGGCGCTGTACACGCTGCTCTCTTCCTGGTGGCTCTGTATCGGCGCCTTCGCCATCTGCGGCACGTGGGGGTTCGCATACGGGATGAGGCGCGATGCGGGCGTGCCCCTCACAACACGCCAGCTCGGGGCCCCCGCCCACCCCTCCCGCACCCCTTCCAGGCGCGAGGCCGCATCCCTCGACATCGCCGGCGTGCCGGTGCCGCCGCCCCGCCCCCCACCCTCCACCCCCACCAACCCTGCCCCCTCATCGCCCCTCCCCGCACCCTCATCGCCCCTCCCCGCACCCTCATCGCCCCCTCATCGCCCGCGCCTTCATGCCACCGTCCGCCGCCTACTCCAACCCGCAACCCACCCACCCACCCACCCACCCGCCCGCCCGCCACCCGCGCCCCGCCGCCCCCAGGTGCCCAAGCCGCTCGCTTGCGGAGGCACCTCGCTGCTCGACCTGCGCACGCCTACCAGAGGCCCGTCCGGGACATGTCCAGGACGTGTCCTGCAGGCGCCTCGCTGCTGCTGATGCTCCTCACCGGGATGATCTCCGCCTTCGCCTACGCCGCGGCGCACTGCCGCACTCCCTGCTCGCGCGCTCGCCAGCCGATCGCGTGTGTGGATGCGCCCCCCGACCACTCGTTCGGCCCCGCAGGTGCTTGGCGCAGTCGTCGCGCTGCCACACGCGGCGCTTCACAAGGCTACCCTCCTCCTCCCCAAAGATCCGCCGAGATCCGCCGAGGATCGCCGAGATTCGCCGAGATTAAGCAGGGCTTGTTGACGCCAGGTGCCCGAGGCGGGCGGCTTCGACGAGGAGTCTGCTGCGCTCAACGCAGCCATCCCAGCCGCGTCGATCGTTGCGTGAGATGTGTGTGTGTGTGTGTGTGTGTGTGTGTGTGTGTGTGTGTGTGTGTGTGTTGTTTTTGACCGCGTAAGATAAAGGGTGGCTTAAGGCTCTGTCCGCAAGGCGCCCGCGTCGCAGACGCGGTACCATTTTGTGACAATGAACTCTGCAATTCGACCCCCCCCCCCCCGGCCCCCGCCCCGCCCCCCCCCGGCGCCCCCCGCCCCCGGCCCCCGCCCCGCCGCCCGCCCACGCGAACATAAAATAGCAAATAAACCAAAGTCCGAATACCGTGTGGCGAAACCGTGTGATCTCGACCGGCAAGCCTTCAGCTGGTGCCAAGACTTTTCCGTATAAAGTTGGAACCAGCCAGAACGTCCGCCAAATCCGTGCTCGCTTTCGGCGCAGCTTGAGGGGGAAGCCGCTGATTGACTAAAGCCTCCACAGCGTGCCCGCGCGCCGCGGCTGCCTCCACCGCGCAGCACCCCCTCTCCCTTTTCTCTCAACACAGTGTGAGTGTGAGTGAGACACAGATGGACTCGCACCGAAGTTATAGGTACGAACGTCTCTCTGTACCTCTTGTTCTCAGGGAGGGGCGTAGTCCCGTTCACACCCTCACTTAGGTATGAGCGCCCGAAACTTGAACGGCGGGCGCTTGACGAACCCGAGGGGGGGGGGGCGGGGGCAGGGCAGGCGACCGCCCCGGGGAATTATGTTTAGCGGCTCCCAACCCCAGGGAAGTTCTGATAGACATGTCCAGGACTCTTGTCGAAATAGCGTGTAGAGTCGAAGCCACAAGAGGGCTGGCTCCGTCCGCGAATAGGCCGAAGGGGGTGTGGCCCTGGCCTTCTGTCTGCCCGCCCAATGGGTGGCAGGTGCCTCTTAGTTCTTCCTTGAACGGTTGATGAGACTGTGAAACGATCGCCGCAAGGGGCGTGAACGCACAAGTGCGTAATGACCGCAAGTGGTCGTGAACACCCCAAGGGGTGTGAAAGTAAATACTCCACTTATTCACAGATACCATACCAGCAAAGTACCCGAATCCAACTCCACGTGCCCAAGCGCACACCGGCCGGAGCGCCACCGGGGGGTGCCGCCCTCCCGTTCATGAGCCCAACAACACGAACGCTATCCATCCTCACCGGCCCCCATCCCCGTGGTCGGCCTCGCTCGCCGCGCCCAGCCGCGGTCCGGTCGTCCGCCCGGCGGCCAAGGGCGGGGAGGGGGCCACCCGCGCTCGCGCAGTGTACAGGTAGAGAGAGAGAGAGCACCTCGATCCTGTATGTATGTACCGTGTTTGTTATGACCCCCCCCACCCACCCAATGAACACACCAGTGAGGGAGGGCGAGACGATCGAGGGGTGGGTCCCGTACCATGCGGAATCGACCCTATCCAGTGCTCAAGTGCTCAAGAGAGCACCTGTGCCTTTTCTCCCACAGTTCTCTCTCCACAGTAAGCTAAAAGTACACGTAAACGCGTTTCCCAAAACACTCGAGCCCAAACTGTATACGCAACTGGACGCACCGTCGGCGCAGGGCGTTTTGGCGCCCAATCCATCGGGGGCCGCCTCCCCATCGCCGGCAGTTGCCACTCTACTCGAGTAAGAGCATGCTCGCGTTCAGCCTGCTCCTCGGCTTGGGGCAGACCCAGACAGCCTACCAGGCCCAATACGGCGAAAAGCTTAAGAAAGCGAACGCAGAAAACGTGGGAATGGTGCGAGACGAGCAAGATCACGAGCTGTCAGTTCCCTGCTCCGAGGGCACAGCTCCGAGGGCACAGCTCCGAGGGCTTAGCACATCACAACTCCATCCCACCCGCTCTCGCGCCCTCGCGGCGCCACAATACTAGCTCATTTGCGCGAGCCAGCACTTCCGGCCGATGCCACCACCACACACCACCACCACACCACCACCACACACCACCACCACCACCTTCGTGTCGGCCTCGAGGCCATCCCTCCGCCACCCCCTCCTCTTTGGCCCTCAGGGCTGCTGGGGCGCGATGCCGCCCGGTGGGCGCAATTACGCCGCCATGGGCTCATCCGTCGACGGCTTCGGGTCAAATGGAGCGCCGTTGAGTACCAAGACGAAACCCCAAAGGCAATTCGGCAATCTCGACGGCAAGGATGGCAGGCGCCCCGTTGGGTAGCCAGAGCCCACGTGAGCGTGCCGCACACTTCGTCACTCGGCGGCCCGCACCGGCACTCAGGGGCGTTTGCACTCTGTGGTGGCTCCTGCCCGACTCTTGTCACGACACGCTCCCCGCCCCGCCCTCGCCCCGCTCCCGCGCGGCCAGCGCGGCCAGCGTCTGGCTCAGACGTGGGGGATCGGGGAGCATAGCTCAGCCCCGTGCCCCACCTCAGAGCGTCGAGACTCGTGTGCCCGACCCTCAGGCGCCCTATCACGGATGTGGTGTACGAGCAGCTGCAGTCGCCGTTGACGCTGTACCTGACGTTTGAGAGCAAGCTCAAACAAAACGTGGGAACGGAAGGCAACGATGCGGCCATATGCTCTGAGGGCGTGGAGCGCTTCCAACAGTATGGCGAGAAGGCGCCCAGCTCCGAGGAGGAATTCAAAGTCCAGAAACTGATGATGAAGTACGTCACGACAACCACTTTCGACGCCGTCGATAAATATCAAAAAACACTGGCCAACGAGCCCGCGGCGTATGTCAACCATTGCTGCAAGGCCGGAATTCAGGGCACTTCTACGTACTTCGATGAAGCATCGGATCTCTGCAATAGTTGGAACAATTGTTCAACCCCATCGATCGAAGGGGGTAGCTGTACGACAATGTGCGGAGTGCTTTCGCGTTCCTTTGAATCTTATTATCAGGATGGCAATACAGACGCCCAGGGCGACGTTCAACTCTGGGTGGAGCCGAGCCCTCCCTCCTCTCCACCCGCCAGCGTGGACAAGGACCCGCATCTCCACTTTGCTCACGGCGGCCGCGCCGACTTTCGAGGCAAGCACGGCCAGCTCTACGCCTTCTTCTCGGCGCCCGGACTGTCGGTCAACGTTCGGACCGAGGAGGCTTCCTTCCTCCTGCACAACGGCAAACTGGAGGCGGAGCGACCCCGGAACCCACCCCCCCCCGAGCCGTCCTTCCCCAACCCGACCGCCCCGACCGCCCCCAACGAGTTGACCGCTCCTTGCGCAGGTCGACGGCTCCTTCATCACCGAGGCGCACGTGGTGGCGCGGGCGAAAGGTCCTAGATGGCAGAGCATGCGCCCACGGCTCGTGCCGTGTTCACTTGCCGATCTCACGCTGGGAGCCGCTCTTTCACGGTTGCAGCGGCCTGCTTCCGCCTCTCCACCGGGCGGGTGCTTCTGTCCTCGCTGTAGGTGGGAGGGGCAAAGGCCAAGCTGGCTCGCCTCTCCTACTGGGCGTCTGAGCTCAACAGGGACAACTGGGGCTGGCGCGTGATCAACGGCACCTGTGGTGGTGCGCGACACTTTTTCCGGGAGATGCCGTGTCGCCTTGGCCCCCTGTCGCCGCCTCCGAGCCCACGCTTCACGCACCGCAGCACGCGCCGCCCTCCCTGCCACGGCCCGCGAGACGTCCGTCGCGCACCCATAAGGCGGCGCACCCTTCCACCTCGGCGTCGGCAGCAAGCGGCAGTGCGAGGAGCTGTCGGTGGCAGTGGACATGTCCACCGCGGTCGTTTCGCTCCGCGGGTGGCGCCTGACAGTCAAGGGCAGCCGCAGTCAACGACCGGACTACGCTCTTGGATCGCATGCATGCACTGCCACTCGCGAGCCGTACCTGTAGGCAATCACATCTACGACCGCACCAGCACCAGCGGCCCGCATCACCGCCTCGACCTGTCCTTCGCGTCAGAGGTCCGGACGCATCGAACCCCTCCTGAGCACTTCCGAGACACGTGGACCCCGCGAGGCACTGCAATGCGCCTCGACTGGTCCCTCCACCTCGTCTCTCCCCCTCCGCTCCTGACCTGCCGCGCCACCCGCCCGACTCGTAGGGCGGCGCCGCGCGGCGAGACTTGCCGCACGGCGTCATCGGTGAGACACGCACACACGTCCAAGGACGCTCTCCCCCCGACACATTCAGACGCTCCACTCAGCATTGCCCACCTGTCGACTCCCCGCAGGCCAGTCGTTTGCTTCGCCAGCGCCGCGCTACGGTGATGCGGCCGAGACGAGCGCCCACTGGCCGGAGGGGGGGCCCAACGCACCCTCCATCCCGTGCCTCTCAGGCAAAGTCGACGACTACACCGAGCAGGGCCACTTCCGCACGAGTGCAATGGCCGAGGGCGCCATCGAGGGCGAGGCGAGTATGTACGAGCTGCTCTCCCCGCACGACACCAGCTTTGCCTTCTCTCGCTTCGACACCCCCACCGCGCCCTCCCCGCCCGAGGCGCCGCCTGGCGCGGGCGGGGCGGAGGCGGCATCCTTGGATTGACGCTTCGATGCCACGCAAATCCGGACTGCGAGCATGAGGACGGGGGAAGTGATACTACTCACGGACACCGCGTGTAGGACTGACGCTGAGAGTTGTGCACCTGCCCTCCGCGCAGCACTCTCTCTTCATTCTTCCACTTGTTGGCGTGTGGGGCACTCGATGGCATGGGGTCTAGGGCACTCTCTTGTTTGTGCCTCCAGCACGCTGGGGGCACTCCCACAGTCTGTGTGCTCTTCATCTCTTCTCTCTGCTCCCTAGCTTCCGTGCTTCCCCCTCGATCTCCGCGCAACCCCCTCTTTCATTGCGCTTGCACACACAAACTCAAAAAGGGAGCGCTAGCGCACGGCATGCTATGTGCACGATACACACACAAAAGAAAAGTGTCCGCGAATGATTCCGCACATGCTTTTATAGAGTACACCGCACCCCAGCACCGGGGTTGGCTTGCCGCGTTACACCCCTCGCGCTTTGCCCCGCTGAGAGAGTTCTTGAGATGGCCGATGCCGTGTTCCTCTCGTCTCGAACTCAAGAGATGGACTCCATCTCTCTGGTCACAAGTCACTAGTCAGCTGCACCTGCGCGCGTGTCGTGGCTCGTGCGTCGAGCAGCTGCAGCGCGGCGCGGTAGATGCGGTAGTCGTGCTTGAGAAGCTCGCGCAGTTGGGTGCGCGTCCTCTCCTGTTATGAGAACGTGAGCGTGAATGGCATCGAGTCCCCTGCCAGCTGACGGGGTGCGTCGTCTCCTGCAGCAATCTCCCCGTGACGCCGCCGCCATCCTGGCGGTGCCGATCGCTCTGTGGCTGTGCAGCAAACCACTCCGCTGAGAATCGCAGGCCGGGCGCCAGTACCCTCGCGAAGAGCTCGAGGCTCTCATTGTAGCGCTCCGTCACGCCCACCGCCGCGTACTGCGTGCGCATCAGCCGCTCGGCAACCTGCAGGGTTAGACGGAAAGGGCGGCGATGACACACTGAAGCCGGCTGCAGCCTCCGCGAAGCGTGACAGTGGAGATGGCGGGCTACTCAGCCCGCTTCTCGGCTCGCCAACCCCAACGTCGGCGGCGCCCAGTGCGCCGAGCCGGCGGAACCGGCGCTGCATCGGAGTCAGTCTGTCCGAGTCGGCCCGTTCACTCCAGCCCTGCTCATCAAAGTCGGCTAGTGTCCACGTCCCAGTCGCCTTCGGTGGCGACAGCTAGGACACGATGACACAACGCTTGAAAAACCATTCTGACGAGCCTCCGAGCATACTTGTGTGGACGTTTCGGGCTCCCATCCCCCGCCCCGGATCCGTGGGCGATCGCACACGCGGCTGGGGGGCACGGCGCGAGGTGCCAGGTGGCGCTTACCACTGAAAAGGAGGTTTTGGAGCCCCTAAAAGCGTCATAATAGCCGCACGTTTGCACTCGCCGTGCCTTGCCATCTCCGAGCCGCGCCCCCTCCTTCAGTTTTAAGGCGAATCGGGTGCCGAACTCGGCGTCGACAGCTTTGGCTCGACATCTTTACCATTTTGGCGAGAAACGCATAAGCCGCCCCAGCGAAATGGCCGATACGGCCGGAATCGGAGGCGGCGCCGGGGCGGCTTATGCGTTTCTCGGGGTCGTGTGGTTTAGCCGGATATCGACCTGGTGTCCCGTGGGGAAGGTATTGAACTGCCTTAAAACGGAAGGGCACGTCCTGTTCACGCGATGGCCAGCCGTGGTGTGAGCCCGAAGGGTCGGCGAGTCGGCACAGGCCAGCAGAGCCCTTGGTCAATTTGGCTCTGACGCCGTGCCAGTAGTCGGCGCGCCGCGATCTGCATACCTGTTCGTACCTCTACAGTAGTGCGGCCACGTGTATTGCTGTTCGGCGAGCCGCGTTCCGCTCTCTCGACCGTGAGGCCAGTTGGCGGGCGCCTAAAGAGCCTGGTTTGTGCGTCGAGCGGTGAGCTCACAACAGACACCGTCCGAGCCCGATGTACGCCAGGCGTCTCATTCCAAGCCCACTACGCATTCCCACGCGCTCAGGCGCCGCTCGAACCCCACCTCTTTGAGCCGGTTACCCCGCGGCAAGGCAACTCGGCGCTCTAGATGTGCGCGCTAGGCAGTCTCAACGCCGATTACTGCCGAGCGCGCACGACTCGTAGGCGTACCGGCGTGCCGCTGGCGTACTACGCGACGGTGGAGGCGCGTGGAATTGCTCAAAAGGCATGCATCTGTCGGAGAGCGTGCCGCAAGACCTGATGTGCCTCCGCTCCAGGTGTGTGGCAGTTCGATGGATCCAGCCCAGCGACCTCTACGTGACGATTGAGGACTGCTCTTCCCCTTCGGCCGAGCCTCCAGTCCCTGCCACCGTGCACTGGCGCCAGCGAGCTCCATTCAGATCCCGCACGCGCGATCGGCAGTCGAGTTACAACCCGCAGCTGTGCTGTGTGCGCGCGCACTCGAAACGTGGTTCGGCGATCTCTCGGCGACCACTCGTCGACTCGCGCCCAGACGCGAGGTGCGTGCTCGCCCGGCCCCCCGTGAGGGGACTAGGCCATTTTTAGCGAGATCGGGGAAATCACTCTCATCGCCCGCCGCTCACGCTTCCCTCCCTCTCCCGCGCCGCCGTCTCCGGTCCTAGCCTGCGATACATTGAGACCTCACGCCCCGCGACTGTCTTCCACGCTCGCAGGCGGGCCTATCCGCCGTGCCACTCCATGCATGATCATCGCTGGGGGCAGCGGTGCTCGTGCGACTGCGGATTCGGCCTCACCTCACGCCCTCTGGCCTGCAGCTGCACGTTGCCGGGCGCCATTCTCGAGCCCTCTGGCGAATGGGCCCAAATCCGGGCTCTGAGCACGCCTACTGCTGACGATCTATGTAGCTAGTGCGGTGGGGTCTGGCGCAGGTGCGCGAGACCGTCGCCACAGGGGGGGGCGCGCGATTATGTGGGCGCTCCCGAGGGGGCGAAACCGCGTGTTCAAGGGAAACCAGGCGAATTGCGCCCCCAAAATGGTCCTGAGCGGCTCCAACGACCTCCCCAACACCCGAGGTGCACGACACGACCGCTTGTTCGAACATTAGCGACACAAGTATTTATTCCTGTGGGTTGTGTCATCGTGCTAGGATGCATCTCCTCCACTTCGTTTTTTGCGCTTATCCCGTATCCGCGGCCCCCTGTGGCCTGTGGGAAGCTCTGGCGGCGCACGCAGGCGGACCTTGTGTGTGCGCACGGAACGCTTAAAAGTGGGTGCTCTACGTCAGAGCGGCCTCCCGTAGGTCCCACAGGGTAAGGTAAGGTGAGGTAAGGTACTGTAAGGTAAACTGCCACCCTCTCACAAGGTGGGGAGGGTTTTGGTGGGAGCATCCGCCACCGAAGCCACGCTGGCAATGACAATGGCGCCGTGGTAGCCAAACCGAGCGGCTGTCACCAGCTGGAGCTGTAGCTCGCGTGTCAGCGAATGGCGCAGCGCGGCGACGGCGATCGGGTTGTGCTCCTCCTAAAGCAATCGTGCCATGCTCACGTCATCCTCTCGTGTCGTATGCGGCGCTTGGCCGCCGGGCTCGGCCGGGCTCCTGCGCCCACAGCAGCTGCGCCGCTGGCCTCTGCCGCAGCGCGTGGGCAAGAAGCCTCGCCACCGCAGCCGAGTGCTCCTCCTGCGGTGCGGCCGAGGTGCGGCCGAGGTGCGGCCGAGGTGCGGCCGAGGTGCCGAGGTGCGGTCGAGGTGCGGCCGAGGTGAGGTGCGGCCGAGGTGCTAGCGAAGTACGGCCGAGCGGCGTCGCGCGCCTCGTACACCAAGTCTGTGCCGACGAGCACGTCGAAGTCGCCGAGCGCCGAGAGACGCGCCGGCAAGTCGTCCGACCCCCAATCAAGAGCCGAGCAGGCCAAGCCACACCCGCCGAGCGTGGCCAGCCACCTGCGGCGGGCGGCGCTGCGTGCAGGGCGGCGCGCGATGCAGCCCGCACCCCCGTCTGCCCAAGCCACCCGTTCGCGCGCACATTCCTCCGAAGTAGCGGCAGCCGGCAGGGCAGGTCTGTGAGCGTCACCTGCACGGGGGGTGGAGAGGCTCCCCCGAGAGTACCGTACCCAGCCGAGATAGGGACGGGGGTTGGAAAGACTGTCCGCGCACGTGAGACGCGCCCGCCGCCGCGCACGCCAGGCCCGCAAGCCCGGTCCCGCTGCCAAGCTCGACGACACGCTTTCCTATGGCGGGGATAGGACTGGCATTGATGGCGTGTACCACTCCCTCTGCCCGGTCCTCGATAGGGACGACCCGCGACGAGACGCGCCAGCGGGCGGCGACCCGCGAGGAGCTGCTCTGCTGCTGCGCGAGCGGCGTCCCAAACCGTGCAGCCCGTGTCGAGGCCGCCAAAGCCTAGAAATGTCCACGACATCTCCCTGGCATGCCCCACACCGCGAAAAAGAGGGCACAAGCCGTGCCGTCGTCGAAGGTGCCGGGCTCCTGGTGGATGAGCAGCCCGTGCAATTCCACCGAGGCGCGGAAGCGCGCGTCGAAGGTGGTTTGTACTTCTCTCCGCTGTGCAGAGGGCCCCTCGTACAGCGCATCAGCGCCCGGCGAAGCTCCGTGCGCGTCCTCGGCCGCCGGCGTCCGCCGCAGCAACTCGCTCACGGTAGCCACAGCGTCCTCCTCCGTTAGTGCTCCGCTGGCAATGCTATCTGTGAGATGGTCATAGTGCGCCTCTGACATCCGACCGGCGGTCAGTCCAAGTTCAGCGAGCGCGTCGAAAGTGCCGGTCATCTATCCGCTCGATGATTGCGAGGAGAAAGAGGCAGCGTCCGAAGGGGAGGCAGACGTTGACGAGCGGGTAGACTCGTGGCGAATTACGTGTAAAAAAGGCGTGCACCGGTGCGATATGCGAGATGCCGAATGAAGCGGCCAGCCCGAGTGTGTACGCGTAGAGGGGCTCCTCTTGCGCCATACCCGGTATTGAGAATTTTACAAAACCCGAAAGAGTGGCCGGCGCCCTGTGGCGCCGGGCCCGCCCTCCAGGGCGTGGCACGTCTAGTGCCAGCGACGCAAACGGCAAGTGTTTTGCGACGGGGAGTGTTGGGACGACGCCGATCGTTGAAAGTAGCAACCACTCACACACGCCTCTATCTAACCAACTGGCTCAGTTGAAGAGGCCGCTCCCACAGCTCTCACACCTATCTCTCTGGTACACAATATTGGAAGCGTTGTGAATTGTGGACCATTGGCCTCCTAAAAATCTCTCTCTCAACTCTCTCTCCGTAAGACTTCAGTTGGGAAGAGGCACGAGGAGGGCGGCGACCTCGACCGACTATGGAGGACCCGTCGCCAGACGACGCAGGGCAGAAGACGGTGAGGCGGAGCAGACGCGCAGGGTGAGACGAGGGAGGGAGCAGGACTTTGCGGAGATCAGCAGGAGGATGTACGAAGAGATTAGGAGCAGCAGGGACCCGAGGGACCATGTGGAAGACGGCTAGTGCTAGTCCCCCATCGGGAGGACGACCCCGGCTAGTCGCCGACCACACCCACAAAGAACCCTGCACAAAGATCGCAAGGGCGGGGGCCTGTTCCTTTTTACCCATCTCACAGTAGAGAGGTGTCCGTTTTTATTTATTTATTCCGTAAGACTTCGTTCGGAGAAGGCAAGCCGTGAAGTTGTCAACCGTCTCGGCGTCGACAACAAGTGGAACTCGAACCAGTCGTGCTGCGGGAACGGCCACCCCTCTGATTGCTCTGACAGGCACGCCTTGCACCTCGCCATGGATCCGCGGCAGAAGCCAATCCCGCAACGTTTTCAGGAAAGAGAGGAGGAAGACGCATACCAATGCCTTTCACTGTGTAGGAGTTGTTGCAGCTTCTCGATCTTTGAAGTCTTGTCCTGCAGCAATATTTTCTGCCTCCAAATGTAGTCTAATACGTCATCGCACCTCCGCCATGAGGACGGCCTTGTGCGAGCGCTGTCGTTGAGAACGAAGCGGCCGGAGTGTTCTTGTTGCCTTCAAGACATATTTCCTGAGGTAGCTCGTTCCCTTGGTGAGGGCGGTCGTGTTCGTCATGGCCGGGTCGTGCATGTACGTCTGGGCGACGTCCGTCGGACTACGGTCCGCCATCTTTAGCAGGTCTTTGGATCGGCTTCAAATCGTCCTCCTTGACGCCGCTCGCGATGTTGGACGGCAAGATAGGCGAAAAGGACTTGCCGGAGGAGGTGATGGCTATGACTTTGGACCTTTGCGAGAGGTGGCGAGCGGAGCAAGCGCGGTGTAGGCGCGCCCACGCGGCGCAGCGGCTCCCCCGCGACCATAGCCCCTCCCGCAGCCGCAGCCGTAGCCGCAGCCCCAAAACTCTTGCTGCTCTTCTAGTGTCGGGTAGTGACCAGGGGGTGAGGGGACGGATTGAAGATCCCTCACACCAAGATCGTGCAGGGCGGGGACACATGTCCCTAAATCCCATCTCGTCTCAGAGTTTGACCGTTTTTATTTATTTCGCGATGTTGGTACGGGCGAGGTCGAGTGTGCGCGGAAGCGAGTGGCGCGATACACACACGACACTGGTGACGGGACTGGCGCGCGCTGGCACTAACAAGGCGCAGACGACGGCTTCATATCGAGAAAATCTCTGCACACTCCTTCAAGTGCTCCAAGTCACCGACTCAAGTGCTCCAAGTGCCCGTCGGGCGTATCAAACTAATGGCTTCTCTCCTCTCGCTCTCGCGGATCTCGGCGATCGCGCTGCTATGAGTACTATGAGAGGGCGACACCTCCGCCCGCCGCCCGCGCCGCCGAGCTGCTGCGGCCCAGCCCGACCTGCCGTCCCGACCAGCCGCCCGCCGTACCTCCGGACCTCCGTGGGGACGCCTCTTGCTCCCGCTGGGCGAAGCGCGGGCGGGGCGAGCCTGTGCAGACCTGCAGCGCGAGGCTGCTAGCGCCCGCCCGCCCGCTGCCTCCCTCCCCGCCTCCCGTCCCCCTCCATGCCCGCCTTCACGGCAGCGGCTCGGACCGGTTTCCGAGGCGCGAGAGGTGGAGGAATGCGTCGGTGCCGTACCCCTCCATCGACATGATGTTGAGGTCTCCGCCAAAGTAGCGCGCGTACGTCCTCGAGATGGGCAGGCCATACCCGAGCCCGGCAAGGGGGGAGTCAGTGCCGTGGTCGCCGGCCGACGAGAAGATGGACGAGCCAGAGTCGAAGGCGGGCGTGGCGGTGGTGAAGAGGTAGGAAAAGATGCGCGGCATGTGCGAGCGCGGGATGCCGCCGCCCTCGTCGGAGACCTTGATGACGACGTCCTCGTTCTGCTCCCCCGACGCGATGACCACCTTGATCGGAGGCATCTCGCCGTCGACGCCGTGCGTCTCGCACACTGCGCGCAGCGAGTTCTTGAGCAGCTCGAAGAGGCAGTAGTAGAGGTGCGAGGGGATGTAGGTGAAGGTGCAGCCGGTAGCGCCCTCAATCAGCACCTCCGGCGCATCGCCGTGCGTGCGCTCGCACAAGTACGTCGCATCCGCCATCGCCTGCTCGGCGATGAAAGCAGGCGAGGTCGACCGGTTGATGAGGCCGACGTACCCCTCCGGCTGCGTCTCGTGGTGCAGCTCCAAATACTGCCCTATCAAGATGCGGATGCCGATGCGCGACATGTAGAAGGAGTCGAGGAAGCCGTGGATCGGCGCGGCGTCGGACAAGTCGTACTTCTCGCCCCGCTCCGCCCGGAGCTTCTGGCGCAGCTCGTGCACTCCACGCGCCATCGTCACCAGCGTCGGCGCGTGCCGCTGGTAGATGTTGTGTAGCAGCTCGCAAAACTCAGCCTCGCCCTCGGCGTCGACCGGCTTCTTGGAGCGGCGGATCTCGACGAAGGACTGCTCGTACCACTCCCTCACCCGAATGACCGAAGGCATCGCGTCGAGTCCCTCGGGGAGCTGCTTTAGCTCAATCACTCTCCGCGCCAGCCGCACTGGCAGCTCGCGTTTGAGGAAGGTCGCGATCTGTATGAGCGTGCGCTGGCGGCGGGTCATCCCCGACGCATCCTCCTCCCCCGGGAGCAGCAGGCCCAGCCCCGTGTCCAGCGTCGCCTGGAGGCAGCGGTGGCGGAGGCGTTTTTGCGTGATGTTTGAAAATGCGCGCGAGGTTTCGTGGCAAGGGTGGCTAGCGGCGGGTGAGTGCGAGCTCGGTGGCATGAAGGGCGGCGGCGAGACGGGCTGGACGCGAAGGGCGGCAGTGATAGGCGGCGCTGCGGAGTCCCTGTGCCTTGAGCGAGACCGACGTCTGGCTATAGGATGCGACGCGGGCGAGCTCGGCGTCGAGAGACTCGTCGCGCGTGGTTGTGGCGGAGGAGTATAAGCGGCAGGCAGCTGCGGAGGCGGGCAGGTGGCGGCGGTGGAGCGAGCCGCCGCCTCGCCGCAAAGCGCCGCGCCAAGCTCTGGCGAGCATTGTCGGAAGTGATAAACAAAACTTCAGTTGTGCTAGTGAACTGAGGAGAAGCGGGTCGAGCCTCGGCGCAGAGGGCAGCGCCTAGCGGGCGGGAACCCTTACCCCCGCGCCCGCCGCTGCCCGCCGCTTTGTGCGCGGGACCTCCGAGCGCCACGAGGCTCCTGACACAGCTCCCGACTAGCGTCGGCTCCTGCTCAGACAGGCGCCAATCGACCAGTTCTCAAGCGACCCACCACCATCCCTCATCTACCGCCCGATCGAATCGCATTCGTCTCTTGCGAGTTCCTCTTGCTCCAAGAGGTTCCAGAGAACGGGGAAACTCTGAGCTCCCTCCGCGTACGCTACGCTCCTTTCGGAGAGAGCCCCACGAGTCTTACCGCGCTCCGGATCCTCTTTAGCCCATCTCTGAGAGTTAGAGTGACTGGCTAGAGACGACGACGACGATACAGTTCACCAGCTGCAGAAGAGAAACACGGTTTCTCGTTTCTGCAGATCCCTCGCTTTTGCAAACGGAGTTGTTTTTTCGTCGTCCAACCCAATGCTCTTCCCAGCTTCCGTCCCATCCATCATCCTCCTCTCGCTCGCTCGCTCGCTCGTCCATCCATCCAAGCAAGCATCCCTCTCTCTCCATCCCGACCGACGCCGAGAGATGGAACGCCTGCCTGAGCCACCTGCCCGCCGCGGCGGCGCCCTCGCCGTCAGTGGGGCGCGGAAATTTCAAATTCCTCTTCTTCCAAATACAAGACGCGCCGTTTCGGAACGCGAATCAAACATGCGTCCGTCCTTCCTCTCAGCTCCAGCCTGGCATGCACACTGCGACGGAGGCTCTTGGCCCTTGCGCCGATTGGCTAGAACCAAATTTCCGCGCGAGTGACGGCTCGCAGCTCAGCTGCTTTGACTTAGCCTTCCAGTACGGCTTGTGCGACGACCCGGCTTACGGCTGCCAGATCAAGCGCGAGTGCCCTGCCTCCTGCGGCGCGTGCATCGATGCCTGCACAGCAAATACCCCGGGCAGCACCTCTTACATCGTGAACGGCGAGGCTGCCCTCTGCTCGGCACTCGAGGGCTACTGCGAACACGCACAGTTTGGGACTGAGATTACTGCAGCGTGCCCCACGACGTGCGCTTGTGGAGGCTGTCTGCAGACAGATGCGCTGTCAGCGGCAGCGCCGCCGCCGTCGGAGCCGCAGCCGCAGCCGCAGCCGCCTTCTCCACTATCGACGCTGCTCTCAGCACCGCCCAGTAGATCAACGCAGCCGCTGTCACCCTTCATGCTTCCACCCTTGCTATCGCCACTGCCGGCACCGTCCCCACTATTGCCCTCGCCGTCGCCACTGCCGCCGATCCCGCCACCGCCTTTCCTGCCGCCGCCACCCTCGCCGCAGCCTTCATCGCCACCCTCCGCATGCACCGACCGGCCCGTGCCCAACTTCCGAGCAAGTGACGGCTCGCAGCTCGACTGCTTTGACCTAGCGGTCGAGTATGACATGTGCGACGATCCAACTTACGGCTGCCAGATCAAGCGCGAGTGCCCAGCCTCCTGCGGCGCGTGCATCGATGTCTGCGCGGCAGATACCCCGGGCAGCGCGTCTTACATCGTGGACGGCGAGGCTGCCTCCTGCTCATCGCTTGAGCGGTACTGCGACCACGCCCACCTGAGAGCTGGGGTAACTGCACTGTGCCCTGCGACGTGCGCTTGCGGAGGCTGCCGGCAAACACATGCGCCTCCCGCTTCGGTGGCGCCTCTGCTGCTGCCGCCGCTGCCGCCGCCATTGCAGCCGTTGCCGCCGCCTCCACCCCCACCGCTGCTGCCGGCATCGCCACCCGGCAGCCCAATGCTGCCGCTGTCACCGCCGTCGCCGCGACCATCCCCACCGCTATCGCCCTCGCCGTCGCCACAGCCGCCGGTGCCGCTGGTGCCTTTCCTGACGCCGCCTAGCCTTCCCCCACGCCGCCCGCTGCCCTCTCCATGTGCCGACCGGCGCTTGCCAGATTTTCGCACAAGTGATGGCTCGCAGCTGAGCTGCTTTGACCTAGCCTTCCAGTACGGTTTGTGCGACGACCCAGCTCACGGCTGCCAGATCAAGCGCGAGTGCCCAGCCTCCTGCGGCGCATGCATAGATGCCTGCGCGGCAGATACCCCGGGCAGCACCTCGTTCGCCATAAACGGCCAGGCTGTTTCATGCTCATCGCTTGAGCGGTTTTGCGACCACGCCCACTTTAGAGCTGGGGTCTCTGCAGCGTGCCCTGCGACGTGCGCTTGCGGAGGCTGCCGGCAAACACATGCGCCTCCCGCTTCGGTGGCGCCTCTGCTGCTGCCGCCGCTGCCGCCGCCATTGCAGCCGTTGCCGCCGCCTCCACCCCCACCGCTGCTGCCCGCAGCACCACCCGGCACCCCGACGCTCCCGGTACCGCCCTCGGCGTCACCACCGCCACCGCTGTCATACCCATCGCCTCTTTTAGCACCACCACCGCCGCCACTCTTGCCGCCGTTGCGGCCAGTGGCGTCACACGTAGCCTTACTCGTGGCTTCAGAGACGCCAACCACTCCACTGCTTCCTCCTTCGCAGCCACTGGCCGTGTTCTCACCGCCGCTGCCGCCTGCGTGTGCGGACTGGCTAGTTCCAAGCTTCCTCGCGTATGATATGACCCAGCTCAGCTGTAGCGACTTGGCGTTTGCGTACGACTTGTGCCACGACGCCGCCTACGGCTGTCAGGTGAAGCGCGAATGCCCTGCGTCATGCGGCGCCTGCATCGAGGTGTGCCCCGCAGACACAGCGGGACTTCTCCCGTATGCTATCGAGGGGCAAGAAGATGCCTCTTGCTCGATGCTGGGGCGTTACTGTACGGACTCCCGATATGGAGACAGAATAACAGCGGCGTGCCCCGCGACATGCGCATGCGGAGGGTGCCGACGGATCAATCCGCAGTCTTCAACGGCGCCGCCGTCGCCAACGTCGCCCTTTCGACTGCATCCGCCTTCGATGCCCCCACCTCTGCTTCCAGCACCATCGCCTTTGACGCCACCCAACATAGTACCGTCCTCGCCGCCACCACCCTCTCCACCGCCGCCCTCGCCACCTCCTCCCTCGCCGCCGCCTCCGTCGCCGCCTCCGTTGCCGCCACTGCCGTCGCCGCCGCCTCCGTCGGCGCCGCCTCCGTCTCCGCCGCCACCCTCGTCGCCTCCGCCCTAACGATCTCTCTCTGAACGCCACACGAGGGTCGTGTGAGGGCCTCGGAGCGAGGCCCTGTCGTTCAGTCTCGGGCCGCCGGCAGTCTCCTGACTTCAGTCCGTGAGTGCGACAGAGTGTCGTATTCACCCCAGCCCCAAGCACGTGTTTCCCCACGCGATCGCACCAGCGCCAGCCGCCTCGACCACGGCGCCCGCGCCGGCGGCTGCCGCGGCGGCTGCCATGGTACCAGATCAAGGGCTGCCTCAACTTGGTGCGTGCCCGCACGTGTAGCCATGGGGTGCATTCACCCGTGTAGCCGCGACCCCCGCGTATGTGCGCCGCAGGGTGCACGCGAGCTGCGGCAACGAGTGGCTACACGCGAGAGAGAGATTTTTAGCAATACCATTTTGTTCTGTACACGCGAAGCGAATTCCGCGAAGCGCGCGCGGGGCGAGGTGCCTATGTCGCATGTGTCCATACGCCACTGCTACGCCGGCCCGCACGAGATGGCGTGCTGGGTACGGCCTGCTTAGAGCGTTGTAAGTGTAGTCGCGTTACACGTTTAAATGGAGGTAGGAATTCAGATCGTTCCCTACCCTACCCCTGACGCCTTGAACCCGAGCTCCGCCGAGCTGCGAATTCGGTGGGGTGTGGGGTGTGGGGTGTGGGGTGTGGGGTGGGGTGTGGGATGTGAGGTGTGGGGTGGGGGGCGGGGTGGCGGAGCACTTGGAGCGGGCTGGACTTGTTTTGTTTAAATTCTTCGCCGCCGCGTTGTGATGGGGACTGCTTGTTCCCGAGCACCTTCCGAACCCGCAATTCAGAGGACGGTGGTGGAGGCGAGCTGGAGCACAGCTCGCCTGGCGCCGGCGGGAAGCAACGCCTGTTGTCTGCCGCCGTCCGCGCCATCGTCTAGCCAAGAGTCTCTGTGCTCGGTTGACGACATGCCACCCAGGGCGGAGCCGGCGGCGGATAGCGTGGATGCCGCGGCGGAGAGCCGGGATGCCGCGGCGGAGAGCGTGGAGGCGGTGGCGGTGGACGGCGGGGATGCGGCGGCGGCAGCAACAACAACGGTGGGTGATGTCGAGGTGGAGCTGGAGCTCGAGCAGGTCGGTGAGGTGGAGCAGGTCGCGCCCGCCGCGAGCCGCGACGGGAGGAGGAGCGAGGGCGCGAGCAGCCAGGCGGCGGCCTCCTCCTCCAGGCCTTGCCTCGCGACGCTGCTTCCCGACCCCAAGGACAAGCACGCCGGCGTCGTGCCGGCCGCAGAGTGGGAGCCGCTCTCTGACGGAGAGCTCGAGGTGGTTCGGGCGATCCGCGGCTGGCTGGGCGAGGAGGCGGCAGCGGCCTGCCCGCGCGACCTCCTCGTCACCTTCACGCGCGGCTACGCCTACCGCCCCGACTGGTCGCAAGCGTCGTTTGTGTTTTTGGAGCGCGCGCTGGCGTGGCGCGAGGAGATGGGCGCATGCGGCATCTGCTTCGGAGCCCCGCCGGCGAGGAGAGAGCTGTTCGAGGAGCTCTGCCCGTCGGGCCTCATCGGTCACGACTCACTCGGCCTCCTCGCCGCGACGCCTCCCCCCCTCCGCGGCCCGGACTCGTCAAAGCTGAGTCCTGGCGCGCGACACACGAGTAGGCCATCTCGTCGTGCTCGAGCGGCTTGGCCGGGTGCGAGGAGTCGCGGAGGTGCTCGCGCTCTGGGGGAGTGGTCCCTCCTCAGCCGATGCCGCCTGAGTAGGTCCGAGTCGCGGAGCTCCTCAAGGCGTTCAGCGAGGAGGAGTACTTGCGCCAGCAGGCGAGAGAGGGGGAGAGAGGGGGAGGGAGGGGAGATATAGGAGGAGTACTTGCGCCAGCAGGCGAGAGATGGGGAGGGAGGGGGAGAGAGGGGGAGGGAGGGGAGATATAGGAGGAGTGCTTGCGCCAGCAGGCGAGAGAGGGGGAGAGAGGGGAGATATAGGAGGAGTGCCTGCGCCAGCAGGCGAGGTCACTTCCTAGACACTTCCTAGAGAGTCCCTGCGCCAGCAGGCGAGGTCGCGCCTCCGAGTCCTCTCTCCGAGACCTCGAGACCTCGAGACCTCGAGACCTCGAGACCACGCTCTCTCGAGACCTTGAACGCTCTCTCCGAGACCCGCCGAGAGAGCGTGCGGTGGCCCTCGGGGCAGGACGGCCACCCGGGGTCCTGCGGCGGAGTAGGCGTTCTCTCGGGAGGCTGTGCGGCTCCTCTCGACCGCAAACTCGACCCGGCTCGGCCGCCGGCTCTACAAGGCATGCAGCGGGCAGAGAGGGAGGGGGAGGGGGTTGCAGCGCGGCGCAGGGGGGTGAGGGAGGCGCCAGCGGCGGGCTCGCTGTGCCCACGCCCCTCCCTGCCCCTCTTCCCTCGCCCCAGGTGGTTGTCGTGATCGACCTCGAGGGGCTGTCCCTCTCCCATGTCGGCTCGAGGCGAGGGCCTCGACACCACCCACCACCCACCACCACCACCACCACCACCACCACCACCACCACCACCACCACCACCACCACCACCACCACACCCACCACCCACCGCCCACCGCCCACCGCCCGCCGCAACGAGAATGTCGCTGTGCTGATCAGTGCCGGTTCGCCTCTCCCCCGCCCCCCAGGTTCGTCCGGCTCTGCAAGCGGGTCAACGAGACCTTCGGCTGGGCACTACCCCGAGGCCCGTAGGCTAGGAACCTTCTCGGAACCTTCTCGGAGCTGTCCTTAGGATGGCACTACCCCGAGACAGCCTTCCGCTTCTACGTCATCAACGCGCGCCCCTCGCCCTCCGGACCACGAGAGACGCCCCCCCCCTTCCCTCTCACTCCCGTCCGTCTGAAACCGAGAGCAGGCGCCGCTCGTCTTTCGGACCGCTTGGGGCGTCGCTAAGTCCTTCATCCACCCGATCACGGTGCAAAAGTTCTCCATCCTCGGCTCGGGCTGGCGGCGCACCTTTGCCGAGGCGGGCATCACGCTCACCACCGGCGAGGCGGCGTTCCCCACAAGCTGCGACCGCGCCGAGCCGTGACTCGGCCTTGATTGCCGTAGGCGAGGCGTCCCCGACCAGCTGGTCGGCTGCGGTGCGAGCGGCGGTCGAGGAGCACGGGCCGGAGCTGCTCGGCCGCGGCTACATGCCGGCGGACGACCTCGAGCGGCTCGGCTTGCGGTGAGCTCCCGGAGACGTGGGCCCGACATGATCATCCGAGATCGCGCCACACCCCCGGTGTGGCGGTGCTTCCCCGCGGGCACACACACACACACACACACACACACACACATATCTCTGGACTGGGCGTAATGCCATACAGTACCTAATGCGCGCGTAATCGCTGTAGAAAACTGTCTTGTCCTCTGTGTGTGTATTACTTCTGTCCTGTGGGTCAGCCTGTGCATGTAAAAGTATGGCATACGCAATGTGCGATCTCGTTCTGCGTTACATGTACGAGTACGTGTCCTCTCTCAGGCCCCGCGCCCACACGCGCCCACACCCCCCTTGCCCTTCGAAGCTGCTCTAGCGGATAGCGCGACGACCATTGCAGAGTGAGCCTTCCTGCCTGCAATCCGGCGGGGAAGCAAACACCTCGCACAGAGAGTCGAGTCACTCTCACTCACATGGTGCGAGTGGACAGAAAGGGTGGTCACAGTCGCTCGATCATATCAAGCTGGTCTGCCACGCTCGTGCACGGAATCTCCTCGCAGCCAGAGTGCACCTCGAGCTTCTCCATGAGCGAGCTGATCTTGCTCGGCCCGCAGGAGAAGCCCTCCACCTGCGGAACAGGGCCGGCGGGATGGGACAGGGTGGGGTGGGACAGGGCCGGCGGGGTGGAGGTCGGTCGATGCCTTTCCAGCCGAGCCCGCCACAACCTCTATGTATGGGAGGACCTTTATGCCGAGGCCCTTGCACAGCGCCTTGTTGGTGTCGAACAGCACCTCGCAAAACTCAATCTCGGGCCAGTCGTCGGCCACGCGCTTGTACTTTGGCGCCATCGCTTTGCACGCTCTGCACCACGACGCATAAAACTTGATGCACACGACGCGGCTCTCACTTTCTGCCTGCGCAAGTTTGGCGCGATACGCGGCCTCGTCCTCGAGGTGCGTGAGGCCAGGCGTGGGCGGGTTGAGCACCGCGGTAGACGGAGTCGCGGCAGGCGGCGAAGGCGAAGGCGGAGGCGCCGTTCGGGTCGATCGCCCGCGAATCCGGCTCCAGAAACCAGCGACCGGCGGCGAGGCTCTGGCGGCGGGGTGGGCGGCGGCGGCGGGGGGGGAAGCAGGCGGAGAGAAGCGGAGCGCCGCAGCAGAGCTGCCAAGCAACAAGCCGAAAAGCGCCGCCGACATTGCACCGCTTTCTTTTTCTCCTGCTAGTTCGTGCCAGTCTGCTGTGAGAGGGGCTTGTACTCTAAGCTTGAAGAAAAACAAAACTCGGCAATCGTTCATCGCAGAGTACCTGCCGGCAAGAGCTCGACACAGTGCGAAGGTCCGCGGCTCCTCCTCCTTTCTACTTTCGTCGCACCGCCGGGCGCACTCCGCCCCCCTTGCGGCGGGCGCCCCTTCCGGCTCCTTTGCGGTCGCGCGTGCTGCGCGTGCCCCGGCGCGCGCCCGCCGATCCCGCGCCCCTCCCCTCCGCCGATGCCTGCAGGCGCCCCCGTGGAACACCGCCGCTGCTGCATGAGCTCGACCGCCGCGCCAGGCGCTCCCCGGCGTGCCAGAAGCCAGCCCGCCGGCCCGAGTCCGCGGATGGGCCCTGCCGCCGCGCCCGAGTCGTCCGAGATGCAGTTTGAGATGGACCTGGACGGCGCAGCGGGCGGCGGCGGCGGCGGCCTCGGCGGCAACGCATCAGCGGGCAGGGAGGGCGAGGCGCCGGTCCGACCGCGCGCGACGCAGAGCGAGGGCTCAGCCCGACGCCCGGACGCCGCCGCCTCCGCCGCCGCCTCCGCGCGGAGCCGCGGCAGCCGCGAGTCGCGGCGGCCGTCAGTCGGGGCGCAGGAGCGCGCGGAGAAGAAGCCGCGGCTCTCGGCCAACAGCTCTGCCGGCAGCACGCCCATGTCTGTGTCGCCGGTGATCCGTCCTGCGGGCGCGCCGTCGGTGCCCTCCTCCTCGGCGCTCATCCCGCTGGACGCCGAGGTTCAGCCGGCGACGGCGATGCGCGGGCACGAGTTTCAAGTCGGGCGGAGGGTGTTTCACGTCCACTTTGGGCACGGGTACATCGGGGCGCTGGAGCGGCAGGTGCCGGCCGGGTCGACGGACCCGCCCGAGCAGGCTCGCGCGCCCTCGCCGCTCGCACTGAAGACGGACACCTCCGCGAGTCCCTTGCGGGTGCCGTGTCCCTTGCGCGTCTCCATTTGGCGCGCACAGGCCCACACTTCTGAGCCGGACGATAGCCGGCCGCCAGAACAGCCGCCATCACCGCCTGGAGCTCTGACACCCCCCCCCCCCCCCGCACTGGAGGAGCGCGTCCTCACCTCCCGCACGCACAACATGCGGATGGTTTTCGACTCCGCGAAGTGACCGACGCCTCGGCTGCGCCGCCTCCCCCGTCCTCGCCTCAGCCCTGTCGGAGCCGCCCTGTAGGTACAAGGAGCTGCGGCTGCGCGCCTTCTACGCCGTCCCGAAGATGGTGGTCCTCCCGTCGGTCCTCCACGGTTAGTTCTCACCATTCTCATTCGACGATGAGTGCTGAGTCTAGGTTGTCATCCCCTCCGCGTCGGCGTTGCTGCGGCGCCCGAGCGGACACCTCCCCGGGGGGGGGGGGGGCGGATTCTCCGGGCCCCCCCCGAGCCTGCTCCGCCCGGCTGTAGGCGCAAGCGGCAGCACTCGGAGGTCCCGCCGGCCAACGCGCGGGTCGCGTGGGTCAAGGAGCTCCTCGGGCGGGGAGGGAGATCTCGGCTAATCTCGGCTAAGCTCGGCTAATCTCGGGCAATCTCGCGTCAAGGAGCTCCTCGGGCGGGGCGGCGCCGAGGCGGGGCCTGGCCTGCGCCTCGCGTGCGAGCATGTGCGCCGCTGGTCTCTCGAGCGCGCGGACCTAGATGCGGGAAGGGAGGCCCCTTGCCCTCCCGGGAGGCCTCTCCAGGGAGGGGGCCGGGCGAGGCGTGGTGGCGAGGCGTGGTCTGGCGTGGTCTGCTGCACTCGGCCGCACGCGGCTGCGTCGCAGTGGTGTCGGCTGTGCTCGTGGCTTTCACGCGGCCGTCTGAGCAGCTCGCTGCTCGCTAGGCCGGCATTCGACACGTGCGCTCTCGTGCGGCGGCTGGTTGAGGGCAAGCAGTTCGCCGCGGCGCTGCGGTTCGCGCGCGAGTTCCAGCTGCGGAGGGAGTTCCCCACCACCACGCTGCTGCACGCGATGCTCGCACAGAAGCGGCGCGCGGGTGGAGGGGGCGGGTGCGCGGCGGCTGTCTCTGGACCGGGCCGCCGCCGCTTCTCTCTCTCTTGTAGGTACGACGGCGCCCTCAAGGCGTGCGGGGCGCGGTGCCGCTCGGTCGATGGAGAGGCTGGCCCCGGCGATGTGCTCAGGATGATGGTGCGGGCGGGCGAGCATTGCGTCGCTCTCAAGTATGTGCACAAGTTCGGGCAGGCGGGCTCCCTCTGCCCGCCCTCGGGGAGGGGCGGTTGTGTTGCTGCTGATGGCCCGCGCATTGCTTCTTTCAGGCGGCCGCGTTCCCGCCCGCGCAGCTCGTGCGAGCGAGCTTGCAGGGCGATCTGTCGGTGCGACCGGCCCCCCCGCCCCCCCGCCCCCCCTTTGAACTTTGGACATTGGCCCTTTCCCTTCCTTTGCCGTCAAAAGGGGGGACACCTATTCCCCCCCGCCCCCCCCCGCCCCGCCCCGCCCTTTGGCACTCGCGCACTTGGCCTTTTGCCCCCCCCCCCCCCCCCCTCTCCTCGGCCCTCTGCCGGCTCGCGCGAGGCCGAGGGCGGGCGCTGCTGCGCGCAGGTGCGGACGGCGGCGATGCTGCTCAAGTACGTCCCCCTCTTCGAGCTGTCCGACGCCTTCCCGCGCGAGGCCATCCTCGAGCGCGCCGCCGCCTCAGGCATCCTCGTCCACGAGCTCGCAGGAGGAAAGCTGGTGCTCAAGGGGCGGCGGAGGTCCGACTCGGCCTCGCTGCCGCCCGGCGCGGCGGTGCCGGTCAAGGTTGGCTCCGCCCCGAACTGACTCGCGGAGAGGCGGGTAATTTATGTGGGGGGGTCGCTCTCTCTCGTCGGCGCATGTGTAGTCTCCTGTGCGTGCGGGCGTCCCTAGCTGTTCTGCCTGCGTGAGCTTGACTGTGACGCGGTGGGGAGGACCCGGTATGGTAGTAGCTAGTAGGCGCCATGTCTCTGTGCACGCTGTGATGCCGTGGGTACGGCTCTACTAGGGTAGTTTTGTTGTGATTTAGCGTACTCGCGAGCGAACGGCCATATACGGTCTAGATGAAGTTTCTCCGGAGACCTCGGGAGCGGGCAGTTTTATTTATTCACACACCCCTCGGTGTGGGCAGTGTCGAGTGTGGTCTGAGGGCAGGGGTGGGCAGTGTGGATTTCACACCCGGGGCAGGTAGGGGATCGGGCAGGCATGGACAGGGGCAGTTGTGCGGCAGTGTGCGGCAGGACAGGACCACAAGCAGAGTGGGCAGGTCGGACGGTAGTAGTCAGGTCACAATTGCAGCGCTGAGATTTAAAACCCCTGCGCGTGAAAAAAAGGCGCGCATAATTGCTGTGAACATGAGATTCACACCCCATTCTCATTGAGATTACTTATAGGGACGGCCGATCGACGAAACACACGTGATAGCTCGCGAGCTCAACAAGTTCTCAATCAAATCTCAGGGGGGTCTGGATGTGTGTACAGGAAATGGGGGACGGCACTGCAGTTAAGAAGTGCGGCAAGTGCAAGGCTGTGAAGTCGACCGAGGACTTCAACCGCCGCGGGAATGGGTACACATGGCAGTGTTGGGAGTGTGACAGGGCGTACACTGTGAAGCGTCGCGCGACTGAGAAATGGCGCGCGCAGAAGGAGAGAGCCTCCAACCGTAGTGGGGGAAATGGCTCACTGTGCGGATCAAATTTTCTCGGCCGCTCTGGCTCGGGCAGGTGGACGCCATTCTGTTCGGTTTTTGCCTCTTTGTGTACCTCCCAGCTCCGAGGTGTCGCATTCCCGGCTCCGCTGACGATTGATGCAGCTTCCTCCCGTGGTGCCACACCTGCGCCAGCGCGGTGCTAAGCCTTGCCGCCACCTCCACCCTCAGGAACGGTACACAACTCTGCGCGATGGGCAGGAAGTCGGGCATGACGGGGGATGCGGAGAGGCGCAAGCGGCGCAAGGCCACCGAGGCGGTCGCTGCCTCCGTCGAGCCCGCGGTCGCCACCGAGGCGCCGGAGCCGCCCGCCGAGCCCCACAACGAATCGGAAATGGAGGTCGAGCCGGCAGCGCCCGACTCGCAGGCGCTCGCGACAGGTGCGGCTGCTCGGCGACGTCGAGCGTGGTGCCCGACGGCTCAGGAGCCTTCTACCATCAACAACTACCACGGCTGCCACCGTCGGCGCCTTCGCTCGAGCTCTCCGAGGCCGCGTTCTGACCTCGTGCCGCGGCTGTCGTCGCTACAGCAGCGACGAGGGCCGCGGCAAGGGGTGCAGCGGCGACGGGCGGGGGGGAGAGGCGCGGCCAGCTACCGGGCCGTTGCCCCCGCCCACCGCACCGGGCCCCTGCACCCGGAGGCGGCTTGCGGCAGCCTTCCCGTGTCTCCGTGCGACCCGCTTGGGTAGCCGGCCACGTGGCGGTGGCCCGCTGCCGGAAAAAATCCGGGGTTTAGCTGGCGTATCTCGGGCCCACTTTAGAGCTAGGGCATGATCTTAGGTGTTCTGGATAGCCCACAAGGGTCTTCTGTGGCATGGTAGCGGTGGTTTTGCGCGAGGCGTTCATTCAAAAATCACCATTTCCCCCACTACCAACCGAAAAATGGCATATTTGTGCGAGACGTATGTTGTGAGTGTGCAATAGCGTGTTTTCGTTCATTTTACAACCAACCTCTGACCTGCCTCGGAGTATAGCTCCGCCACTCGGGAAGTACGCACGCACACATGACAGCGAGGCGAGCGTTTAGCGAGCCACCAAGCTAGTCATATACTTGTGCCATCGTTGAGCGGACAGACGCCGTTGGGCTCGCGGGGCCGTCACTCACTTCCACAGGTCCGGACGCACATCCTCCGGGAGGAAGTACGGAATGAAGGAGAGCAGCAGCACCGAGGACAGGATCAGGTTGGGCAGGCCGCCAGGTATCTTAGAGGCGAGCGCGTCCACGCCAGTGGCTATGCCGACCAGCTCAGTCTCAAACACCAGGTCCGAGTCGGGCGGGATGCTGGCGCCCGCACCCGTCTCTCCGTACGCAAGCGACGCCGGGACCACCAGCGTTCTCTTGCCGCCCACCTTCATTCCGGCAATGCCCTCGTCCCACCCCGGGATCACGCGGCCGGCGCCGAGCTCAAATGCGAGCGGCGAGCGGCCTTTGCTCGAGTCGAACTGCGTGCCGTCCGAGGCGAGCGTCCCTGTGTAGTCCACCTGAACCACCGCGCCTTTCTCTGCAACCTCGCCGTTGCCACTAACGACGTCGAGGTACTTGAGGCCGCTCGCAGTCGTGGTGTACTCTTCGTCCGCAACCTCGCCCGCGGCCGCCTGCATCACGACGGCGGCGCGGCAGCAGAGGCTCGGGCCGCGGGCGAGTCTGCCGGAGACCGACGGCGACAGCGCCAGCGACGGCGACAGCGACAACGAGAAGAGGCTCAACATGGGGGATGAAAACGCGGAAAGATATTTGCCGCGGGGGGCTTGCTGCTCGACCCAGCCCAGGAGTGAGAGCCACATGGCTCGCACCGCGGCTCTGTGGCGTCACGGTGGAGTCCGCATTGCCCGCGATCACTCCGCATTTGATGCCGCCGGCTGTCGACCCCCGCACCGCACCACAGTCATACTGGACTACTGCCGCGCGGGCTGCCGCCAGTCTGCGCCGCCGTAGCTGCTGCTGTGGCTAGAGAAGACTCGGCGCACGAGCGTTCGACGTCCACGGGCGCCGGCAGGGTGGTTTCCATGCACCGTGGCGGCGGTGGAGTCAAATCCAGGTCAATCCGCCTCAGATACGACACCGAGGAGAATGTGGGCACGTTTGCAGCTAGGTGCAGGCATGTTTTACGGCTCATCTGCGGTGCTTTGGGTGGTCTGCGCATTGCGCGGCCGCCGAGCAACTTGGCGATGGATGGAATGAGTTGATGGGACCTTCAACTATGCGAGGGCTGGGCGTCCTCGACACGGTGGCAGCAAAGCCGGTGCCGAGGCGCGGTGCGCAGAGGCGTGAGCGCGCGTCAAAACGAAGGAAATTTATGCCGAAAACAGCCTGTAACTACTCTCCTAAGCTGTGAATCAGACGCACTTGCCTTCGGGGGCAAGTGCCCAATCCCGCTAGGGTGGGCGTGCTTTCACAGCCTCACGAGAGTAGCCTGTAACACTAAAGTTAACAAAACGTGTGAGTGTTAGATTTGTTTGGTATTGGGACCTTACACGCCTGTAACCTCTCTTTAAGGTATTGCTAAACATCTCTCCCTCTAAAGTTCATTCACACGCACTAAATTTAGACCCAAGCAAGCGCCCTCCTCCATCCCGAATTTGGAGGGCCTACGTCCATGCTCACCGCTGAGCGACAGCGCGTCAACACTGAGTCAAAATACCGCGAGACAGAGCTTCAGCGGAAGCAGCTCCAGTTCTTCCTCGACTCGCTCAACAGTTACAACACGCAGGCGACGCTCGTCACCGGCTTCGCCTTCACCGCCTTCTCCGCCGACGCGCTGCATGAGCTGCCTTACAAGGGCGCGCCAGTCCGCTCGCTGCTCTTCGCGTGCCTCTCTGCCGCAGCGATGGGCTCCGCGGTCTCGACGGTGGTCATCTCGAACTACTTGATGATTCGCGTCGAGCGACTAGCCATGAACCGCTCCACGAGCACGGCGCTCGCGGCGCTGCGGCAGCGCATGGGCACTGTGCAGTGCTGCTACATGTTTTCGCTCGCCGCGCTGATCGGCGCCGCCTCGACGCTGCTGTTTGCCATGTGCGACATCACCGACGAGGACCTCGCCTGCGAGAGGGTGGGCGCCAGCGTGCTTGGCGTCTTTGCCGCCTGCGTGCTGGTCGCGTCGACAGTCGTGTGGCGCATGCGAGGCCAATTCGACCGTTACAGAGACGCGTGCGGAGGCTTGCACCACAGGTCCTACCTGATCGACACGCCGGCCGGGACGCCTGCCGAAGGCGACGAGTGCGCCGCCGTCGAGCACAGCGTGGCCAGCATCGGCGAGTGAGTGGAAGTTGTCTGGTGGCATGTGGAGATGTGGCTTGCACATGCATGGGGCATGTCGCATGTGGTACGGTCTCGAGGGCGGTCTCGAGGGCGGTCGCCATCTGCTGCGCGCGGTCTCCGGGCATCAATCGGGGCGCGCCTGCGGGCTGCGGGGCGCGGGCCGCACAGAGCCGGAAGAGTGGTCCTGAGTCCTCGGGCAGGTATCCTCGCCTGCGGCGTAGACCAGTACGTGTATGCGGTATGTCGCCGCACGCCGCTCGCGGGTCGCGCTCCAGCAGGATGGAGTGCAGATGCCGCAACCGCCGCCGGCGGCGGCGGCCGCCGGCGCCGCGCGCGCGCCGCCGGCGGCGCCGCCGCCGGCATGACGCATGTGAGCTCTGTGTCTTGGTTTTGCCAACAACATACCTAAAACGCATGTTGTAGGTAGGTAGGTAGAAAGGTGAAGAACAGCCAGGCTCGGACTGGACACCAACGCGGTATGGGTGGACGCGAGACAGATGATGACGACACGCACGACCCCGACCACCGCACAGACACAAACAAGCTCACAAGACACACAGCCAGCTGGCTGCCACACACCCGGAGTTGGCGTACACATAACTCAGGGCCACATTCTTCCTGTCGCCCCCCCAGCACTCCAAGGTGCCAAGAGAAACAAACAAGGGCACAACATCACAACAGACGACAGGAGTAACATGCGCTCTGGGGGGAGGCGAGGGCCCTATAGGGGGTACCCATGCGGGGGGGAGATGGGGTCCCCCAGCCCGCCGCAGGCGCCGATTTTTTTGCATTTTTTTCGCGCGATTTTTTACTTGTTATCATGGGAATTCGGCGTACTTGCGGCCATGCTATCACGCCTTGCGACATCCTTTCGGCGCTGCTGACCGTGCCATGCTGCTCAACTGACCGCCTGCATAGCTCGCGGCCTTAGTCTTCGGCATTCAGTGACGACCTGATCGTACGGCCAGTAGGAAGGTGTCCTCGGCGGCGGCGAGCTCCGCATGCATGCGGAGCAAGTCCGTGAAGTCCTCGAGCCTCGTGTGTGGGTCCGCGGAAGTAGACTGAAAGATGACGGGGAGCGAGGCGCCCTTGAGCAAGCGAGGGATCTGGAGCGCGAGCATCGTCGGGTTGGCGGCCGCCGCCCCCACGCTTTGCACAATGGCTCCTTGGAGAAGGCCGGCCGTGAGTCTCGCGGGGGCTGCCAGGGGCAGGCGGGCCGCCCTTGTAGCTATCGGTCCCAAATGGAAAGAGAGCAGCGAGTACAGCAGCAGAGGCAACTCCCCACCCGCCTCGAGCGCGCGAAGCGGGAGTTGTGTGAGGAAGGCCAGGTCCTGTGGTCCTGGTACGGCCGGCACCGCGGCCGCGGCTGGGCCCCCTCGACCGCGGCCCCGGCCTCTCCCCGCGACCGGTGCTGGGACGGCGGGCGTGTCAAAGTCTTCACCGAGAAAGATGTCCGAGTGCGAGACCCTCCAAACCCCTGGGTTGGCCATCGTCAGATCGGCGAGCCGCTGGTGTAGCACGCCGATCTTCTCCATGGATAGGTGGCGAAGAGGTTCGCCGCGTCCAGAGCGGTCAGAAGCCGCGACCAGAATGCCCCATTGAAAAGCACATTGAGAACGTGGTTCCCATCGAGGATGATGCCTGTCTGCTGGTCCACGCTGAACGAGCACCGCGGCATGAAGGCGCCCTTGGCGTCGCTCTGCCCCAGGGTGTAGCTGGTCACTGCTCCTGCATTGTCGTACACCGTGGTCCAACTCAGGCAAGGCGTATGGTCCTTTACGTGCTGAGCCCCTGGAACGAGAACGAGCATTGCATCACTGGTGATCTGAACCTCGTCAACGACGACGACGATGGGCGCTTGCGCAGCTGGTGGGGCCTGCTCTGCTGCGCCATCTTCACTCTGTGTTCTCTCCTCTCCTCCCACCTCACAGAAAACTGCGGCCGCCAGCGACTGAGCCAGTCTCGCTGGCGGACGGGGAGAGGAACACGAAGGGACGTCCGGACGTCCATCCACTGGGATGAGAATACTGGAGATCTGAGGTCGAATCTGCCGATTCCACACAGCCGCCCACAGGAGCGCCGCCTCAACACGGGGTCTCGGCTCTATCGAGCCATGCTAGCTCCAGCCGCAGCCCCACCCGGCCGCCCGGGGGTGTTCCCGCACGCAGAGAAGACCAATCCTGGGGGAAGTATCAAGTAACCATCGCTCGTCTTCGTGTACGTCTCGATGTATATATCAGCCGCTCCTCCCTGATCATCACATCGCGATCTGTGGCATGTTTCGCAGAGCGAGCTCTGCGGCGTCTCTAGACTGGGCTGCCTCTCTCAGAGGTCACGCGCTGCGGAGACCTGCGGTGTGGCTGCAGTGGCTGCGCTCGCTCCGCTGAGCCCTGCGTTTACTACCCCCCGCGCTTTCCGCGCGCTGCCCATCCCCCCCCCCCCCACCCCCCCACGCACGGGCCTCACGCACAGCTAGCGCACAACGCCGGCAGCCAACGCCGGAGGAGTGCCTGCCGCCCGACGGCCGAACTTACTTGTCCTCCTTTGGTAGTTCGGGGTCGACTCCGGGGCTCTTGCCCGCGAGGGCGCGGAGGTAGATGACGCCGATCGAGGTGCCGCCCCAGAGCAGGCCGGTGCCTGCGCGGGCCGGGGGCGGCGGGGGAATGAGCCGCGGAAAGGAGCAGCAGCGCGGGCGGAGGTGCGGTGGGCGGTGTGGCGGTGCGGTGGCGGCGGCGGTGGGTGGCGGCGCGCACAGACGCCGGCGTCGACAACCGAGCGCCACGGGTAGGGGAGGCGCTTGACGAGGCCGATGATGCAGGCGACGCCGAGCGAGATGGACCACGACACCGTCTTTCGCTTCTTCGACGCGTGGAAGAGCCCCATCGAGTAGAAGGGCGCGAGCGCCGAGTGCAGCAGCGGCGGCGGCGGCGAGCGCGTGCTGAGGGTCATGGCACGCTGCACGACCAGGGGCGAGAACTTGCACTGGAACGCCTTGTACCCCTCAGTGTACGCGAAGAAGGCCATCGTGCCGCCGTACCTGCACGCGCCAGCGGTGCTCAGTCAGGCGCGGCGGCGACGGCGGAGGCGGAGGCGGGCGGGCCGCACAGTCCCCACTGCAGCATGGTGATGTCGCGCTGCAGGATCGGCTGCATCGCAATCGGCGCGAGCCGCCCTATCGCCTGCGCCAGGATGCCCAGAAACCCACACACTCCCCACGCCGTGCGGAGGCCGCGCGCCGCGTCGGCAGTCGGCACGGGCGACGCGCTAGCGCTCGCGGCGATGAGATCGGCGCGAGCCGCACGGCCGATGGCGGGGCGCGCGCTCGCGCCACGCGGCAGCGCGGCGGCACCAGAGGCTGATGACGCTGCTGCCATGAACAAGAGTAGGTGGTGGAACGCTGATAACATCAACGAGATGAGCCCGATAGAGTGCAGAGAGTGGATCGCCGTGAAAAAGAGAAAAAAGAACAGCGATTCACGTGAACAAAGAATTCACGTAAGAGCCACATACATTGAAAAAGGAAAAAAAAGGGTGTTTCCACAATCAAACCGTCCGTGAAGAGGCGTTTGACCACCCAAGACAGCTTGCAGACCTCCCGGTAAGGCTACATTTCGTAACGATCGTGGCTAAACGACAGCCGGGCCTCAGCCTCTGTTGGGGCGGAATGCGCGGGGTTTTCGGCGCGATGCCTCCGGCTAGTACACGGTACTGCTCTGCCGCAAACTCTCCTGCGCTCGCGTGACGTGTGGGGCGCACGCACTGCGCTCGAAAGTCGCGATTTGGCAATAGGCGCTCGAGCCGGCGCGCAGTGAGGGGGCGCCGCGCAGGGGGATAGGGGGGGTGCGAGAGGGGGCGTGGGTCGGGCGCGCACCGGCCGGCTCCGGGAGCGGCCGTCACGTCGAAGAGGGGACCTGGTGCTGCTCGAATGACGACGCATGCCGCTCTGCTGCGCCGCCGATAGCCCCTCTTCCGAGCCGGCGCGCCGCGGCGAGCCGCGGCCAGTATCGCTGGTGCGGTGGAGGCGGCAGCTTGCATCGGCCGGCAGCGGGTGCGTGCGGCCATCACGTCGATGAGGGGGGGTTGTTGGCGACTCGTGTGGCTCGAGGCCTACGCTGCGCCGCCCAAGCCCTGCTGCCGATCCAGCGCCTGGCGTTTGGGGCGAGCCGCGGTCGTCGTCGCTGATGGTATATGGCGGCGGCGGCGGCGGCTCGCCCTTCCCTCCGGCCGCAATTCCGATCCCGCCGCGCTCGCGGGAGGTGGCGCGCCCACCGCGGCACGGCCGTGGCTGCGCATTGCGTGGCGCCCTTTCTCCTCTTTGGCTATCCGTGCCACTCGGGGAAAAGGTGTGTCGACCCCAAATCGGGTCCGGACTTCGGACCCGATTACGCTGCCGCCTCGCGCGCACCGCTGCTGCCCTCGCCAGCAGCCGCCGCGGTCGCAGTGCCATCGTACGGACTGGCGGTCGACTCGCCACATCGATTTCAACTCACGCGACGCGCTCGGCCTCCGCTGGCGGCTGCCGCAAGAGCGGCTGGCTCACGGCAGCGTCTCGCCGGTTGCCGGATAGGAGAGTACAGAACGTCTGGAGTGTAACTGTGTACGTGAGATCGGTTTTGATAACAAGCACGGTCGATCCGTCAAAGCGATACACTCGTTCGCTATCTCGCTGGAGGGCTGGCACGGAGCTCTGTGCCGGCAAACAGGAAGAGCCGAGGCCGAGCGTTTTTGATCTCTGGGTCAGTGGGCGCCCGCCCGCCGCCTCTGAGGGGGTCGGGCCCCCTAGACTGAAAACAAAAACAAAATGCAGAAACAGTCACAAACAGCCTGCGAGAGCGGCGCTGCGCGCCGCCTACCTCGTGCGGGTGTGAGTGACCCCAAACGGTCGTCTGCATCCAAAAACGGTCGTCTGCATCCAAAAAACAAGCACATGTAGCATGTGCATGTGCATGTTGTGCAACATGCACAGACCTGTTTATTGACAAGAAAATACGTCCTTGGCGCTTTGCGCTGGTCTATGAAAGGTTTGAGGTGCGAGCACCCTGGAGGCCCTGGGGATGGGGGGAGACTACCCGCGGGCCTAGAAGGCCCGCGCGCAGGGGGGGTGGGGCGGCGGAGGTGGAGGTGGCGGAGGCTCGGCGAGCACGGCTGGGAGCGGCAGAGGGTTCAGGACCCGGGCAAGCGCGGATCTGAGAAGAGGGGTGGCTTTGGTTGGTCACGATCGGGACGGATGACACGTCTGATGCAGACATGCGGTCATCCTCGATTTCTCATTTCTGTTTGTTGAATGTTGAAGCCCTCGCCTCTTCCGAGCTTGGTACAGCAGGGGGGGACGCACGCGAGGTGCTCGCGAACTTCGAAGCAAATCTCGCCGTGCGCCGCCGTGGGCTCTCATGAAGCGTCCGGGCCGAGCACATCCACTGGGCTGCCCACGGTGCGCGGTCGCACCTCGGACGCGCGCTGAGAAGCCCTCGCCGCGCACCGTGCTGACGTCGAAGCGAGACCGCGCTCGGACCGCGTGACACCTGCCTCTCCCTGTCGCACGAGCGTGGGCGCGGGGCACGCCGCCGTTCGCGTGTTTCGTAACCGCATGTACGTACCGCTGACGCGACCACGCCGATCGCCGTCATGGCGCTCGCTCGCACGCTGCTGTTCGGGTCGATTGTCGTGCTCTCTTGCGACGCCACATGTGCCGCGTGTGGGGAACTGTCTGTCGCACCGAGCTGTCTGTCGCACATGGTTCTAAAACGAGATAAATCTAGACTCGAGTTCAGCTGTTTGCACAGTACACTCGAGCGAGCCGGTGCGGCGAGACCGAGCGGGGTGCGCGCTGCGCAGGGGCCAGGGCGCCCGCCCCGCCGCCCCGCTCGCGAGCGGCGGGTTTGAGAGCCGACACTGCGACTCATCGCTCGAAGGCTGACGACCTAGTAGGTGCTGTCGGCCGCAATCACGCCACTCGGCTCGGCTTCTCGGTCGATGCAGAGCCTCTCCCTCGGGCAGTGTGGGGACGGGGCGGCGAGAGGGTGGAGGAGGGGCCCTCGAGCGAGCAGCGACAGTCGTGGTGGTGGTGAGGTAGGGCAGTCGGGCGCCGGCGCCGGGGTCGGGGCAACAGCGGTAGCGGCGGCGGTGGGAGGGCGGCGAGGCGTGTGACGGCGAGAGCGGCGGCATCTCAGTACTCAGACGGCGGTCGAGCCCGCTGCGACTGGCAGGCCGCGTCCACCTCGTCGTACCACGCCGCTTCAAGACGGAGGCGCTCAACAATGAGACCACCACGGCGCAAAGCCATTGGACTCGCGCCTCTCGGCCAAGAAGCTGCGCTCGTACGGCGAGGCCATTGCGGGCTTCATTGGCTGCGCAACGGCTCCCCCCCCCCCGCTTCTCCGCTGAACTGCTTGCTGCTGCTGCTCGCTTTGTCCCAGGAGCCTGGTGCTTGTGTCTAATCGTAGTGGGGACCCTGGCCCCCCTCTGTTTTCTGTTTTCTGTTTTTCAAAACGCCCGCCCGCCCGCCACCCCGAGGTGGCTCGGCCCCCCACTGACCCAGAGATAAAAAAACGTCGGCCCGAGCGGCAAGAAGGGCTCGATGGGGAGCGAGAACCGTCAAACGTGCTCACGGAGGTTTCGGAAGTCCACCCTGATGCGGTCGGTTCCCCCCAGGTTTGAACGCGCAGCTCGCAAGACTCGTCGAGCACTCGCAGCCTCTCTGCGCCTCTCATGCTGCCCCGCTCTGCGGGACGTTCAGTCTTTCCGGAAGATATCGTCGAGTTTTGGAAGCTGCGCGGTCAAACCTGAGGGGAAACAAGAGCGTCACGACGGACTTCAGGTTACACCTAGAAGCTCTTCTGACGGTTCTCGCTCCCCATCGAGCCCTTCTTGCCGCTCGGCTCTTCCTGGGGTTTGTCGGCACAGAGCTCCGTGCCAGCCCTCCAGCGAGATAGGAACGAGTGTATCGCTTTGACGGATCGACCGTGCTTGTTATCAAAACCGATCTCACGTACACAGTTACACTCCAGACGTTCTGTACTCTCCTATCCGGCAACCGGCGAGACGCTGCCGTGAGCCAGCCGCTCTTGCGGCAGCCGCCAGCGGAGGCCGAGCGCGTCGCGTATCGATCGAGCTCGCGATCCGGGCCGTGGAGCCCACGAGGAAGACTTCGTCTGCTGGGACGGAGTCCCGACGCTCGCTGCGTCCGCTGGAACTGGGGTCTACACACCTTTCGTTTCCGCGTCCCGCAGTGGCCCTTGCTGTGCCCCTCCGATCCGCACCTACCTAGGCTCTTGCCGACCCGCACTCCGAGTGAGACTCCTCGTCCCGCCAGCGCCCACAGCGGCCAGGCCTCTCATTCCCGACATGGCCGACGCCTGGGAGGCCGACATTCGCACCGTCCGCGAGGCCTGGTCGCACTTCCTGCAGAACGACTTTGCCACCGCCGAGTCGCTCTTCCGCCGCGGGATGGGCGAGGCGACGTCCGCAGCCGCCGCCGTCGAGGTGGCGGCCGAGCCGGACGCAGAAGAGGACGACGAGGCACCGAGCGACGACCGTGTCGAGCGGCGCGACACGCGAGGCGCGTTTGCTCTCCAGTACGCCCTCGTCGGCCTGCTGCGTGGCGTCTCGACCCTCTCCGACGAGCAGCTGCCTGAGTGCAAGAGCCGCCTGTGGCACGCCGACGCGCTCGCGTCGCTGGACACGGACTGGGTCGGCAAGCGCGTCGTCCGCGGCGTGTGCACCCTTTGCGCTGGCATCGTATGCTGCCTGCAGAGAGAGCCTGTCCGCGGTGTCTTCCACATCCTCCGCTCGTGGCGCTGGCTGCGCTCGCTCAAGACAGAGGCGCTCGAGTACCGCGGCGTCGGGTGCGAGGTGGTGCGCTCCTCGGCGCTGCTCGGGCTCGGCGGGTCCGCCACACCAGCACTCTCCACCTCGCTAGCACTCTCCACCTCGCTGCACTATCCACCCCTCTCTCAGCGACCGCCTCTTCTCCCTCTCCCGCCGCGTCTCGGGCGCAGGTTTGCCCTCGTCCTCTCCCTCCTCCCGCCCCACCTCGTGCGCGCCGCCGCCTACACGACCGGCTTCGAGGTCGACCGCGCCGCAGGCCTCGCCACCGCTCCGCTCCCGAGGACAGCTCTCTCGCTCTCGTCTGCTGACCGCGTACCCCTCCCCACAGGCCTCGCCATGCTCCGCACCTGCGTGCGCGAGGGGGGCATCTACGCGCCGGTCGGCTGCACCACGGCTCGACTCGCCTTGCCACGCCCGAGGTCGCTCATTCCCGCACTCCTCGCCTGTGCAGGTCGCCGCGCTCGGCTGGCTCGCCTTCCACATTGACTCGAAGACCTTCCTCGGTGAGGGAGAGCTGGGCCGAGATGACGCGAGATTGTCATCTCCTCCACATCGACTCGAAGACCTTCCTCGGTGAGGGAGATGGAGATGACGCGAGATTGTGATCTCCTCCTCATCGAGTCGAAGGCACACATCCTCGGTGAGAGAAGTGGCCCGACTCCACCCTGCCCGACCCGGTCCTCCCCAAGCAGCTCACGCCCACCTCGCGCCACCCCTTCCCCACTGCACCTCGGCTGCACCTCGGCTGCACCTCGGCTGCACCTCGGCTGCACCTCGGCTGCACCTCGGCTGCACCTCGGCTGCACCTCGGCTGCACCTCGGCTGCACCTCGGCTGCACCTCGGCTGCACCTCGGCTGCACCTCGGCTGCACCTCGGCTGCGCCTCGGCTGCACCTCGGCTGCACCTCGGCTGCGCCTCGGCTGCACCTCGGCTGCACCTCGGCTGCGCCTCGGCAGGCGAGGAGCAGGGCGAGGAGGAGCTCGACGAGTGCAGCGCACTGCTCCGCTGGGCGGCGGGCGAGTACCCGTCCTCGCTCTTCTTCTCGCTCCTCGAGGCGGGCCGCCACCTCCCCCCCCCTCCCCCCACTTCCCCTGACCTCGCCTCCCCGCCTCTCGCACCGCACTCGCATGACCCGCACCGCACCCCCCCTTCTTCTTCCCCCTCACCCTCCTCCTCCTCCTCCTCCTCCTCCTCCTCCCCCCCCCCCCCCCCTCCCTCCTCCCCCCCCTCCTCCTCCTCCTCCCTGCCAGGCCGACTGCCTCGCTTGCCGCCGCCGGCTGCCCGAGGCGCTGCTCGTCATCGCCTCCGCCTCACGGCTGCCTCTTGCTTCGACTAGCTGCGGGCCATGCCTCAACGAAAAGAGGGAGACGAGGCTCTCCCTTAGGCTGCCTTGCCTCGACGAGCTGCGGGCCATGCGCGCCATGCTGCACTACAAGCAGGGCGCCTACCACCTCGCCGCCTTGCAGTGGGCCGAGGCCGGCGCCTGCTTCAAGGCTTCGCACGCCGTCTACTTCTCCGCCGGCCGCCGCTCGCTCGCCCCCTCGATGGCGGTCAACGCCGCCCTCTGCTACACCCTGGCCGCCGACGAGGGGGCGGCGGGTGCGACGCCGCGGCGGGGCGGCGAGGCGTAGGCGAGAGGACGCCACACGCGTCACCGCGATCGTTCTAGGCGAGATGCTGGCTGAGGTTGCGAGGTACCGCGAGCTCGCAAAGTCAAATTGGGTGCCCGCCGACCGGAACGCGTTTCGCGCGCACGCGCAGTGGACAGAGCGGTGCGGCGCCGGCGGCACGCTGCCGCCCGAGCGGTGGGCGCTGCTGCAGATCGCGGTGCGGATGGCCTTCCTGATGCGGTCCACGGTTTGGATGACGGACGCCGACGCGGAGCGTTTCGCCGCGATGCTGGCGACCGCGGCGGGCGACGACGATGCGGACTCGCGCGCCCAGGCGCCGATGTGCTGTGTTGACTGGCCTTGTTGCCGTGCGTTGACGGCTCGCTTCTCTTCTCGCCCAGGCGGCGATGTGTTCCGCGCAGCTGCACGCGCACCGCGGCGACGCGGCGGCGGGGATGGCGCAGTGCGAGCTCGGCCTCTCCCTCTCGCCTCGGCTGGGCGCTCCGTCGCGCGACTTTGGCGCGTGCAGCCAGACAGCCCCGACCCGACGTAGCCACGACCCCTCGACCACCGCCCCCCCTTTGGCTAGACTGAGGTGTCGCCTCTAATTCTCTCTCTTCTCTGCTCTCTCTCTCTCTCTCTCTCTCTCCCTCTCTCTCTCTCTCTCTGCGTGGCAGGCACCGTCCCGATGCTGCATTGCCTCTCCGCGCAGCTGCATGCGTCGAGCGGTGACTTGCGCCGCGCCGAGGCGGCCCTCGGCTCCTGCCCAACTCGTCTTCCCCTGACCCGGCCCCTGACCCTCCCCGGACACGTCACACACAGGCGTCCCTCGACGCCTGCTCCGCCACGGCGGCGAGAGGCACGCAGATGCAGCAGCTCCTCACCTTCAAGAGCGGCAGGTTGCGCCGCTCGCTCGGGCTGCAGCTGCACGACGCGTACGCCACTCTCTCCCTTCCCGCCGGCCGCGCCGCTGTCTTCTCGATCACGCTGGCGAGGACGGCCGACGAGGCGACCTGCGCTTGCGGAGTCGGGCCCTCGCAATTTCACCCGAGATCACCAGAGATCACCAGCGATCACCGGCGCTTTAGGCGACCTCCACCGCAGCGTGGGATTGGGCCCTCGAGGCTCGCGACATCGACTTTGGTCCGTTCTCTCCCTCCGACCTCGCCGCCTCGCCCCCACTCGCCTCGAGACCTCGAGACTCCGACCCGCGTGTAGGCGTCCGCTGGACGGCGGCAGCAGGCGAGCCCGCCGAGCTGCACCCGACATCGCGGCACGAGGCGGCGGCCGGGCCCGTCGAGGGAAGCTTCGAGCTGCCAGAGGGGTGCGAGTCGGGCCTGCTCGAGCTCACCCTCTCGAACCGTTTTTCGTACTTTCGGTCCAAGGCGGTCAGCTACCGGATCGGGACGGCGGCGGTGAAGGCAGAGCCGAGGGTGGAGTAGGCGGAAGAAGCTTGGCGGTCGATGGCGGGTCGATTAGTCTGCGTTACTGTGTAGTGTCGACTAACGACTAAAGCCGTAGAGCCGTCGGGCGGGCGTGGTACGTTGTTTCGCGCCGTGAGCGATTCGCGGCCGCCGCGTGTGCATCTTTGTACACCGATGACGCTTGGGCCACAGCGCCACACGCTTTGCCTTTGCGCTTTGGGGTGAACTTTTATTCTGTATCTACAAGATATGAGTCGCGTCTCAGACCAACACCTATTTTGCAAAAGGGGTTGTTGCACGAGTCACGACGAGTGTGTAATATAATAATAACGGTGGGCAGCGAGCAAAGTGGGTGAGACTGACTGGGGAGCCGGAGAAGACGGCATCGGCCGCCGAGGGAACGTTGGGAAGAGGCACGAGGAGGGCGGCGACCTCGACCGACTATGGAGGACC